CCAAAATACTTGTGTTGTAAAAGAAGGTATTGAATTTACTGACTAAGAAGAACTAGAAAATAACATGTCAAACCTATTCATCATAAAGAAGAAACAATCAAAAGGATAATAAATATAAATAATGATTGAACATCTTCAGAAAGACGATATTGTTTTATTTCTACTGTATTTTTGATGAAATAATTAAAAGCATTAAATAAATTAAATGAATTTTTATTTAAATTTATTTTGAATAATTTAATATAAAATATGATAGTTTATATTTTAAATAAACATTAATTTGAATAGAATGAATAATAAATGAAATAATTAATATATGTAAGAAATATGAATGTTAAATAATATTTTATATATTGAAATATTGATTATTTATCATTATTCTTTTTATTTCATTTTATTTAAATTGAATTATTCTCATTAATATTCATTTCATTACTTTATTAATATTTATTATTAATTAATTTGAAAATACAACAAAGAATCATTCTTTCTTATTTATTTGTTATTTATTTGTTTATAGATAGAAGGTGGCAAAAAGAAGATACATTACAGGAGACACCACAAAAAATATAAAACAAATAACCAAAGAAGAAGAAATTCACATCAACCAAGAAATATAAATGATAGAAGAATGAGTGAAAATAGGTATTATCTGTATTGACAGAAATACATGAATAATCACGCTAATCATTACAATAACAATTATAACCATAACTATCACAACATAGATGATACAAATCATTTCACTCATCACTTCATTCATAATCATCGTCATAAACACTTTAATAATGACTTCAATAGAAATATTTTCTTTTGCAAAATATTAAGTTCGAAAATTGAAAACAGAAACAACACAAACATTAATACAAAAGCAATTAATGAAATATCAATTGTTATTTGATTATGATATTGTTTTTGAATAAGAAATATATTAATTAATAATATAAAGAATAAAATAAGATAATATGAAAGAATAATACCCAATGAAAATGATATAAATGATGTTATCAATAATAAGTGAAATTATATATAATAATATAATGATAATGATATGTCCAGTCATTATAAAATCAAGAAAATAAAGAAAGAAGAAGTTATTTAAAATTAAAATAACAATCAAAGAAGAAGATAAAAAAAGAATAAACAGAAAGAATAATAGTTTATTCAAACAAAACAAGAAGAAAAACTAAATAATAAATAAAACAAAGAAATTATTTATTTTAATGATGCATGTAGTGAATAATATCCATTAATTAATGAATAAATGATAAATTTATTAACACTAAATTATTTAATTTTTTATTTTCTCAAAAATTTTATTTATTTTTTTTTTCTTATTAAAAATAACACAAATTAAATGTCACTCAATTCACTCAAAAAAGCTTTAATTTTTGAGACTTAACCATTCCTTCAACTTTTTTAATTTGAGCTTGTTGAGATATTCTAAAAGTCATTCCAGTCTTTTGAAGAACATAAATACAAGGTGGTTCAAATGAAGAGGGAATATGATTAAATAAATCATTTAAAGTTTTTTCGTGAATGTCTTGACCAAATTTACCACGTAATAATTTAATAATATGAGGAAGAACATCTTTGTGAATAGAAGTTAATTTGTCACTATATGGCATTCGTGCAAGGACAGTACTTTTAACAATAAATGTTCGTAATGTTTGAATTTCATCAACTATAGAAAGAGAAGGGTATCTATCAAGAACATCATAAGGAATACCAATTTTATCAGAACAATTACCATAAATCATTCCAAAAATTCTTTTTTGTTCATTAAGAATTAATAAATCTTTTGGACGTTGTTCGTCAAATTCTTCTCCTTTCTTTAGTTTAGGTCTTTTTTCTTCAGTGGTAAGTAACGTAAGATAACTACTTTCAATTCTATGTTGGTTAATAAAATTTGTAAATGTAGTGGTATCAAATAATAAGTCAGTTCCAATAACTATTACATCTCTATATTTCATTAAATTCTCTCTATTATCTTCTCTAAACTTCTTTAATGCAACTCCATTGTGTAAAAATTCAATATCATCAATTGGATAATAATGGATATTAATTGTTGTTTTAATTGTTCCAATGGTTGACTGAACAAGAGCAACAACAGACGTTCCAACTACAATTTCTAATTCTTTAACATTTAGTTTCTCAAGTACTTCTAATTGCCATTGAATAATAGGTTTTCCACCAACCATAACAAGACATTTAGGTAATTTATCATTATTATCAAATTTTGTTCCCATACTTGTTTCTATCATTAAATACATAAATTCATTTTCATATTCATGACTATAATTTGCCAAGAGATAATCACTCATTTCTTTAATTTTTATTAATTTTTTTAAGTTTTTTTTTATTAATTTTTAAAAAATGGGGTTTTTTTTAACTAAAACAAATCTCTTTTTTTTTGAAAAAAAAATTTGTTATTCTCTATTTTTGGATTTTTAACATTTTTTAATTTACACTAAAATTAAATAAAAATATAAAATTGTATCACACTTTAGTTGTTGACATTCTCGATTGTATCAATTCAAAATCTATAGATATTAGTATCGTATTTGTACAGGAAAATGATCAAAATCATTCTTTTCAAAAAAGCAATTTCTTTCTTTATTAACTTTTTCTTCTATCATTTCAGCAATTTTTCTTCCATTTACCATAACATGTTCATGGTTAAATTGTTTAAGTTTATATGTACAAATACTTGTTCTATTAATGGTAGTAACTCTATTAGTACTATCGATAAAGATAATGCCATATTCAAATAATAAATCTTCTAAAAATTCTTTCATTATTTTTCTACGTCTTTCTTGGACTCTTCTTGATATAGTTGATTCAGGAATATTGTCCTTTCTATCTAGTTCAGCAAGTTCTTGTAATTTATTAACGACAAAATCTTCTACATTGAGATAATCATTTTCATAATATAATTTTTTGATATTTGCAAATTGAACTGTTTTTGTTGAATGAGTATGTGGAAGTCCAATTTCAATTTTAAAATATTGAGATAACAATGCAACACAAAAAGCAAAGAGAGATGCTTCTTCATTTTTAATTAATCTTGTTCTTTCTTTTTGTTTATTAATTTTCATTTGTTTTTTATCTTCATTAATATAAGCACGATATTCATGACCAGGCATTTATTAGTGTAAATTAAAAAAAAATTAAGTTCATGCCATAATAGTTTATTGAACTATTTTAGGTAGTATAAATCATTCACTGTTTATTAACTTCCTTCAACTTTGATGTATTTTTAAACTATCTAGTCGTTTTTTGATTTTTTTTTCTCTTTTGTTTAATCAAACAATCGTTACTAAAACACATTCTAAATTTAGAAATTGATATTAAAAAATTGTTTCGAGTGTAAAAAACTGTTGAACAAATATATTTTTTTTTAGTTAACCCATAGACTTTCAATTAATCAACCAACAAAAATTGTTGTACATTCATTGTCTAGTAATATAACCTTTTGATTATAGATAATATTATTCATTTATGATATAACTGACAAAAAATAATAAAAATAGAAATGGATTTTATTTTTAGAACAACATTTTTAACTTTCAAATAACAGGAAGTATGAAAGAAGAAAATGAGACTAAATAATAAACAAATACATAAATAGATATTAAAAAACATAAACAAATAACTATTGAACCTTCTTCAAATATACCCTAATTTTATAACAGAAGCCTTTTCTGTAATTATTCATTTTAATACAATAAAAATAAATAAAAAAAAAAAGAAGGATATTTTAATTGAATTAAATCAAGAGTGAACATTACAGGGAGTACAAGAACAAATAAAAGAATTATCTTAATTGTTTTATTCTTTTAAGATATGATTTAAGAAGTTCTTTAGCTTCTTTAGCATCATGTTTATAAGGTTTTTTTGTTAAATCTATAAATTTTTCAATAACTTTTGGTTCATGTTTTTGAGATAAATTAAATAATTGGTCTTCATTAGAAATTACTTGAATTGAATTGATAAAATCTCTTACATTTGGTGCAATATTAAATGAAAATGATGTTTTTTGTTTCATTTGAATTTCTTTAATTAAATTACCAATTCCACGTAATTTATAAAAATTAAATTTATTATTTGTTGATGCTTTATTACCATCACTTGTATAAATTAAATCAGTTAATGTACTTCCAATAAATGGAATTGTTGGTGGTATTGCAATATTCATTATTTTTCTTAATTCAGTAAAATTATTATCTTCTGAACATAAATGAACTAAATTTGTAAATATACTTTTTGTACTTTGTTGAAGCATTTCCCATGATACTTTAAGTCTAAATACTGAAACAGATTGTAATGCAGTAACAATTGCTTTCATTCCATCAAAATTTTGAATTGTTCTCATTGTTTCTGCTGCTGTAATAAAATAAAATAATGCAAGACTTCTTAATGCATATGTTGGTTGCATAACAATTTCTGTTTGAACAATATGAATTAATTTATTAGATAATTTAATCATATTAACAATATGTGGTGTTAATTGTTCTTTATTCTTTTTTGTCCATCCTTGATTTAAAAATTCATCAGAAGGAATTTCAACAAATGATTCCATTTGAATTAAAGTCATTTGTTCTGCAAAATCCAATGGTGAAATACAAAGAATTCCACTAAATTTATCATCTACAGGAAGAAGAGGAACATTTCTCTTTAAAATAACACATTCCATTTTAAGACCAAATCTATTGTCAAATGACTTTTGTAAATTTAAACCCATTGATTTGTTATATGTTGTATAAAGTTGAATAAGATCATTAATTGCTTCTTGATTTTGTTCTTCTTTAAAATCATTTGGAAAAACTTGAATTAACATTTTTACTAATGCTAATATACGTGTACGTGTTGGAATAATAATATTTTGAATAAAATCATTCCATAACATATCAATTGGTTTATTTGGACTAAATAAAATAATTAATAATTTTAATAATTTTGTAGTTGTTGTTATTAATTTAAATGAATAAACAAAACATTGTGTAAAATAACTATCTTCACAATTTTTTGAAGTAATAAATTGAAGACATTTTTCTAATGTTGCATATTGAATTATTTTTGCATTACTACCACTTTCTTTAGTAAAAGTAATATATTCATCTGTTGTAGGTAAATCAAACATATTTGCATTACTATGAGGATTATAATCTTTTTCATTTTCAAACCATGAACTTTTACCTGTTGAATTTTGACTTTCAACACTTTCACCATAACTTGAACTTGGAACTGATGAATTTGTTTTCTTTTCAGAACTTTTATATTCTAATAAAAATGAATCTTCACTTGCTGCTAATGATGAATCATTAGAACTAAATGATAAACTTCTTCCAGGTGATAATAACGGAGAAATAGCAGATGAAACTTTTGGCATATTCCCAATTTTAGCACTTAATGGTGGAAGTTTATCTGAATTACTAAAGTCTGTAGTATGAATCATAGTAGATCCTCTTCTTTTTAATTTAATCTCTTCTAATGTAAGTGGTTGCTTACATTTATAACAACATCCATTTTCTTTTATTCCTTTCATTAAACATTCTTCACATAATAACTCTCTACATTTAGGACACATCGTTGTCGCAATACACATGTGTCTTTGCTCAGTCATTTTTAATTTTGATAAAAGATCTACAAATTTTATTTTTTCTTTTTTATAAATTTTCCTATTTTTATTTTCTGTGAAGAGTCTTTTCAAAAAATACTTCAATTTTCTTATGGAATATATACAATTTGTATTTCCCTTGATTCTTTCTCTTTCTCAATTTTCATGAACCACCGTTTTAGGGTTATTTTCTGTTTGTATTTCTTTGTTTTTTGTGATACATTAACAAAGTTACATAAAAATCTTTTTCTTCTTTTCTTCTCGTATTTTTTGATTATTTTCATTAATTTAAAAATAGATTTCTTATCAATTAGTTTCAGCTTTGAATTATCTTTTTTCTTTATAAAACATTTATTTTTAATAACAAAATTTTTAGTTTTGTTTATTTTTTTTAAATTCTTCATTTCTTTTTTTTTTTGACAAGAAAAGATAATGAGAAGATTGAAAAACAAATAAATATATAAAAGAACTTAAAAAGTTTAATTTTTATTGTTTCAAAAATGACTGACTCTTATGCAGTTCAAAAATTTCTTAAATACGTCACCATAAATAGTCAAAGTAATGAATCAACTCATGTCACTCCTTCAACCCAATGTCAATTTGACATGCAAAAACAACTCCAAAAAGACTTAAAGGAATTAAATGTACATTTTACTTTTGATGAAAAAAATTGTATTTTAAAAGCTGAATTACCTGCAACAAATGGTTCTAAAAAATCAATTGGATTCTTTGCACATATTGACACTTCTCCAGAAGCCTCTGGAGAAGGTGTTAAACCAATAATTCATCAATTACCAACTGAAGTTACTTCTGATTTAGCTTTACCATCTGGAACAGTTATTAGTAAAGATGACATTAAAAAATATGGAGGAGATGAAATTATTACATCATCAGGAGATACATTATTAGGTGCTGATGATAAATCAGGTGTTGCTATTTTAATGGGAACACTCAATAAAATTATGAAAGATAATATTCCACATCCAAGAATAATGGTTATTTTTACACCTGATGAAGAAATAGGAGAGAGTTGTGATCATGTTTGTATTGAAGACCTTCATCTTGACTATGCTTATTCTGTTGATGGAGATGAATTAGGAACTTATAATGATGAAGGGTTTAATGCATTTGGAGCTGAATTAACTATTAATGGATATGAAGTTCATCCAGGAGAAGCTTATAATATAATGGAAGATGCTGGGTTTATTTTATCTCAATTCTATACTAGTTTACCAATTAGTAAACGACCTGAAACAACAAAAGAAGATGAAGGATATATTCTTTGTACTGAAATGAGTGGATCTGTAATAAAAGCACATGCCCGTTTCATAGTAAGATCATTCAAAATTAATGAGATGGAATTCTTTATTCAGTTAATGAAAGATCAAATTTCCTTCTTAAAAAGAAGATATACAAAATCATCATTTGATTTAAAATTTACTGAGCAGTATCGTAATATGAAACGTTATCTTCCAGATACTCTTCTTGTTGATAAATTAATTGAAGCAATGAAATTATCTGGAGTTGAAGCAAAAAAACAGTATATGAGAGGTGGTGCTGATTGTTCACATTTAAGCGAAAAAGGACTTCCATGTATTAATATGTTTGCAGGAGGAATGAATTTCCATTCAAGAAGAGAATTTGTTCCAGTAAAAGCAATCAACAAAGGAGTTGAAGTTCTTGGTCATTTAGTCCAGTTATTCTAATTTAATTTATTAATGGAGTCAATTAGAAAAAATAAAAAAGAAATAAAATTTTCAATTATTGAGTATTAGACTCAATCAAATCAAGAGTTTCTTTGTACAACTTTTGACAAAGAATACCATCGTCAATAATTGGATTATGTTTAGCAATTTTGCAATCTGAATAATATGCCCCTGTTTGGATATCATCAGCAAGTGCACAGTGAAGAGTAGTTTGGCATGCTTCTTCTGGTGTTTTCCAGAAAATCTTAAAGAATGGTGAAACAAACCACATTAACCATGGACACCAATATCTCCAGAGATTAGAATAAACAAGTCCAGGATGAACATGAACAGCAATAATATCTGGATGTTCTTTAGCAAATTGATGAATAAACATTCCAACAGCTAATTTAGATTCAAAATATCTAAAAGCACGTTGATAATCTTCTTTTTTACCAATAAGATCAATTGATTTATTAGTTGTAAATAAATGTGCTAATGAAGAAACAGCAACAACTCTTGGTTTTTCTGATTCTTTTAACGCAGGAATTAAATAATTAATGAAAGCAGCATGTGCAATATGATTTGTAGCCATTTGACATTCAATATTTTGCTTTGAAAGAGTATAAGGACAACACATAATACCAGCATTAGTAATAAGAATATCAACTTTATGATATTTATCAATGATATATTGTGCTGCTTTCTTAACACAGTTTAAATCCATTAAATCACATTTAACAAATTCTAATTTATTATTTTTTGTTTCTTTACCAATAATCATATTTACTCGAATTTGTGCTTCTTCATGTCTACAACAACATACAATTGTTGCATTCAACTTGGCTAATGCTCTAATTGTTTCATATCCAATTCCTCTATTTGTTCCTGTTACTACAACTACTTTATCAGTAAGGTCTGGAAAATTAATATTTACCCCTCCTCGGCAATACATATAAATGTAATACAAAATAACAATTATTACTACAATACCAACAATGAATGTTAACATTATTTGGTTTAGATTTATTAGTTCCAACTTTATTAAGAAACACTGAAATAAACGTAAGTTTAGTGTATATTAGTTCCACGTCTTAACACAAAATTTAAGACTTTCTTTTTTTTTTCTTTTTTTTTATTTTAGAGAAAAAAACTTCAAAAGTCTGTGTAAAGTAAGATAAGAAAAATGGAAGGAATATTACAATACAGAAATACAAGTAATTCATTTACATTTAGCAAACCACAACAATGGAAATTAATAGACAATATCTTTTCATCACAAAGTAATGAAAAAACTGATCAACAAATATTTTTTATAATTGACATCAAAATGATTGCATTACATAAAAGTTTGTAAATACTTTCATTACTTTGTAATGAAAAATATAATGACATAAATAGCAAAACCAAATCAATTTGCAATTAAATATTCATTTCAAAACCATCAATCAATAATTGAATTTATTGCTCCATCTACTGAATTAGCAAAAAAATGGGTAGATTGTATTGTTTGTTATTTTTCTTAAAATTATTATATTAATTTAATGAATAAATAATTAGAATATAACAAAAAATGAAATACTTTCTCATGAATATGACAAAAAAGAAGAAATAAATACAAATGATTTGTCATCACTTTCTAGTTCTAAATTGAAAGTTAAATTAAATTCAAAAACTCAAAAAGTTGTTTTAATTCCAAATTAAGTATTTTTTTTTATTTAAATGATGTTTATTTTAAATACATAAAAAAAATAAAAGGAACTTCAAAATAAATAAATAAATAAATGAACGCTGATCTACTTATCAGTATAGGTGTTTTTTTTGCAGGTATTTTAATTGGTGCTGTTCTTACTTTGCTTTTCATGCTTTTTTACAACTATATTTGCAAGTATAGAAATGATTTTACAAATTATACAAGAACTTCTTCTCAAATTAAAATAAGGAACTTCAATCAAATTAAACAATTGTTGGAAGACTCATATCAAGAAGCAATTAATTCTTCTGATAAAGAGAAAATCAACAATTTTATGATTAATGTATTTAATTTAATAGAGTTCATTCTACACCAAATTAATAACATGTTACAAAGAATACATAATACAGATACTATTCTAGACAACTGTAATACTGTGATAAGATTAACACAGGAAATTAAGAATAACCTTAATCCAAAACAAGAAATACACATAGAAATTCCACAATCTCCTAATAATAACATTTATTCCTCAAAAGGTTTTGAAACGCCTTCTACTATGACATATCAACAAGATAGTTTCCAGAGTCTAATACACAATAGAAGTGATACTTCTATTCAAAATGAGTCTAAAGTTGAAGATTTAAAAACTGAACCAGTGTATAAGTTATACATTTCTATTGAAGAAGCAATGAATGGATGTCATAAATTAGTACCATTATATGACTCTGAAGGCAATGAGGAAATTATTATTGTTGATTTATGTCCAGGAGTTAACGATAGAGAAACATTTAATTGGGGTGAAAAAACAGTTGAAGTACGTTATATTAAACATCCTTATTTATCAAGAAGAGGTAATGATTTGATTATTGACAAAAAAGCACTTTTAAAAGGAGTTCAACATCCAAGAAGTAATAGAACATTTAACGAAAAAGATGAAGAACAATTAAAAAGTCTTAGAGGTTTTCAAAATGGAACAGTAATAATTGAATAACTTTTTAAAACTATAAAAATACAATAAGTTAATTAATTTATTGAATAAACTAACATTCTTTTTAATTGTAAAGAAGGAGTAATTAATGAAGTTGGACATGAAAAATAATCATTGAAATAAGATAATAATGATAAATGATTTGATTTGTTAAAATGAATTGGTTTATAAGGATATCCAATAGAAATAATTGAACCATAATGATTATAAAAACAAACAGACAAACAAGTATTTTCTTTTCTTGGACATTGATAAATTGTATTTGGGCTTTGACTTATAAAAGCAAAAGAATTTTGTCCAACAGATATCCATTCCCATTCTTTAATTGATTGAATAGAAAAATAGAATCCAATACAAAATTGATGAATATCAATAAAAAGAATATAAAGCTTTTGTAATTGTTGAACTTTTTCACAAATATTTTTATCCCATTTTTCATTAATATCATCATCAATAATACAATTCATTCTATTAACATTAGGAATCCAATTCTTCATTGTATTTTCAACTATTTCTAAATCACTTGGAGAAGTTGTAATCATTTGAACTGTTATTCCTTCATTAATACTTTCATTAAAACCCCCTTCTTTTTTTATATTTTTTTCTTCATTTAAAAGAAGTTCTGTTGAAATATTTGTAATTTGATTATTTATTCCCATTTGTCCAGTACTTCTTCGTTTTAATGAAACTGACTTTGCTATTTCATCATTACAAAATACTAAATGATGGTCTATTGGTTGACTATTAACTTCTTCAAAACGGTTGCTTTGTCTTTTTTTATTTAATTCTTTTACTTTAATAAGAGATCGTGGTGAGCTAACTCGTTTAATAAAAGAACATCTTCTTTTAATAATAGGTTCATGATGATTATTCTTAGAATCTAATACTTTTATCATTGATATTTTATTTTCTTCTTTTCTTTCATTCTCTTCTTTTTCAATTCGTTCAATTTTCTTAAAAAGTTCAATAGTTAAGTCCTTCCATTTCTTTAACTTCCCAAGACTCATATCATTTCTATTGATACTTTGACGTAGTATCTCAATTACTAAATTCTTATTATGTTCATCTTCTTTATCTAATGATTCATATTTCATTAATTCATATGTTTTCATTAATTCAGTCTCTTTTCTTTGTTCTTCATAATCAACAATTTTTTTCATAGTATTTTTGATTAATGTTTCTACACGACACATTCCTTCTTCCATGTTAATAATAAACTACCTTTTTAGTTCACCGAAAATTTATACCAACTTTTATTATTTCTTCTCTTTATTTCCGTTATCTATAACATTATTATTGATACATAAAACTTTGAAGGTTGTTTTGTTTGAGTTGAAAATTAGAAATTTCTTCATTAACTCAAATAATTGAAAAACAAATCCTGAGTTATACTTCAAATACATAATAAATAGGAAAAAAGTTGTCCTGAATATTTTATAAATAATGACTACATTTAACAAGTCAACTAAACAGATATTAAAAATCCCTAATCACTTGTTAACAAGAATAGTAGTTTGAATCATTTCCTTCTATACTTAAAAAAAAATGATTTACTAAAATATTAGAATTTTTTATTATAAGAAATAAAAATTATTTCATTTATTATTTTTATGTTACTAACTACCAAATTATTTTGTTATTAAATAAGTTAAATCAACAAAAATCGAAGAACTTTTTATTTTAATTTTATAAATAAATCATCTCTATTTAAGGAATAAATTACTAAGTTCTTTTAACCCTTGTTCAATACTTTTATTATTTTTATTCTTTTTTACTATCATTATTCTTATTGAAAAATATTTTAATTTACTTTTTTATAACTACCAAATTCATACTTCATCTTTTAAAATTATTTCTTTTATTACTAAATAATAAAAATAATTCAACAACTTTCTGTTGTTTAAACTTTCATTAACAAAATTTAATTATTTATATTAATTTCTGTTTTTCTTTTTAAATAAATAACTTTTAACTTTTTTTATTAAAAAACAAAATAATTTAAAAAAAATGTTATAAAAAAAAATCATTATCATTTTAATTAATTAAGCTTTAGTTGTTCTTTTTAAAGCGATTTTCAAATGTCTCATTCTTCCAGTTCCTTGGGTTCTTCTTCTAAGAGCTTTGTATCCCCATGCATATTGTCTCATTTTAGCATCTGGATATCCACATGAAGCACATCTTTGTTTTTGTAAATGCCATGATCTTTTTCCACATCTCTTGCAAAGAATATGAGTTTTATTATGTCTAGTACCTCTGCAACTGGTTCCTTTAGTCATATTATGTTTATTTTGTTATTCAAGTTATTCTTTTAGGGTTTTTTAGATTTAATGAAATTGAAGATATAGTTTTGTTATAATTTTAATAAATTATATTTCTGATAATGAAAAGTTGACTGGAAAAGATGAAGAATGAATGACAAGACAGGGAGAAAATGCAAAAAGTCTTATTTTGCTATGAAAGAAATTAATGAAATACAACAACGGTATGATAATAAAATTGGGTTACTTATTAGTCATAACCTTAAAAGAGAACGTGGAAGTAAAAAAGAAGTTAATGATTTGTTAGATAGATTTTTAGTTGAAGATGAAAAGAAAAGTTTTGAAGATAATACAATTAAACATGATGAAAAAGATGACATTGATCAGCAATTAGCAAAAGAGTTAGAGGCATTAAAGAAAAAAAATTTTATTTATGATACTGGTGTTGAATGTATGTTGTATTGTGAAGTACCTTATGATGCAATTCAAGTTGTTTCACAATTATTTGATGGAGCAAAGAAAGAAGGGATAGTAATGAAAGAAACACAAAAAATAGTACCTTTACAGAAAGTTGTTATGGCATCTTCTATGGAAAAACTTCTTAAATCAGTAAAAGATTTATTAAATGAGATACATACAGAGAAGTATAATACATTTGCTATTTCATATAATTGTCGTCATAACTCAAATTATAGTAGAGACATAGTTATTAAAAATGTAGCTGATTTGATGCCAAAAGAATGGAAAGTTAATTTAAAAGATCCTGATGTTACTGTTATGATAGAAATATTTTATAGAGGACTTGGAGTATCATTTGTAGAAGGAGAAGTTCTGAAGAAATATAATCATTTCAATATTCAGCGATATATACAATCTGAATAACATTTTTAGAGAAATAATTGTTATTTTGATTTGAAAAGTTCAGGTTTTTATTAGAGTTAGAGAAATATAATAAAAAAATAGAAAAGAAATAGAAAAGAATAATAAAAGTGAGGAAATGAACTAAAATATCAGAAGGGAAATTGAATGAACGCACCAGTTCTTGTTCTTAACACTAATACTAAAAGAGAGAATGGTCGTAAAGCACAATTAGCAAATATAATGGCAGGAAAAACAGTTGCTGATTTAATTCGAACATGTCTTGGACCCAAATCAATGTTAAAAATGTTAATTGATCCACAAGCAGGAGTTACTATTACATCAGATGGAAATTCTGTATTAAGAGATCTTACAGTAGAACATCCAGCAGCAAAATATATGATTGAATTATCAAGAACACAAGATGAGACTGTTGGAGATGGAACTACATCAGTAGTTATTCTTTGTGGAGAAGTATTACAAGTAGCAGAACCATGGATTCAAAAAGGAATTCATCCAACAATTATTATTTCAGGATTTCTTGATGCACTTGAAGATGCATTAGAATCATTACATGAAATATCAACTACAATAGATTTAAGTAATCCTAAAGTTGTTTCAGGAGTTGTTAGAAGTTGTATTGGAACAACATTTATGAATACATGGAATGATATATTATGTAAATTAGCTATTGAAGCAGTTACCATTTGTGCAGGAGGAGATTTAATGAAAGCCAAAGGAAAAGAAGATATTGATACTAAAAGATATGCTCGTGTAGAAAAAATTGCAGGAGGAGAATTTAGTGAATCAATGGTTGTTAAAGGAGTTGTATTAAATAAAGATGTTGTTCATTCTAAAATGAGAAGAAGAATTGATAAACCAAGAGTTGTTTTATTAGATTGTTCATTAGAATATACTAAAGGAGAAAGTCAAACAGATGTTGAAGTTACAACTGCAACAGATTTTGGTAAATTAATAGAATTAGAAGAACAATATGTAAAGAGATTATGTGAAAATATTATTCGAGTTAAACCTGATTTAGTTATTACAGAAAAAGGTATTTCAGATATTGCACAACATTATCTTCAAAAAGCAGGAATATCTGCATTAAGAAGAGTACGTAAAAATGATAATTTAAGACTTGTACGAGCAACAGGAGCAAGTATTGTTTATAGAACAGAAGATCTTAAAGAAACAGATGTTGGAGTTGCAGGTCTCTTTGAAGTAAAGAAAATAGGAGATGAATATTATGCATTTATTTCGGAATGTGAAAAATCAACAGCTTGTACTATTTTATTACGTGGTGGAAGTAAAGATGTTTTAAATGAGGTTGAAAGAAATTTACAAGATGCAATGGCATCATGTAAAAACTTAATTGCTAGACCTGAATTAGTTCCAGGAGGAGGAGCATCAGAAATGCATATTGCTACTACATTGTCTAAGAAAGCTAAGAATATTGAAGGTAAGAAACAATGGCCATATTCATCTATTGCTGTTGCTATGGAAGTTATTCCACGAACATTAGCAGCTAATTGTGGAGTTGATGTAGTTAAAGTAATAACTGAATTAAGAGCAAAACATATTAGTAATAAAGAGAATTCAACATTTGGTATTGATGGAATGAAAGGAACTATTGTTGATATGAAAGAATTAGGAGTATGGGAACCATATGAAGTTAAAGCTCAATGTATCAAAACTGCTATTGAAGCTGCATGTACGTTATTAAGAGTTGATGATGTAGTCAGTGGAATTAAGAATGAAAATGCAGGACAACAAAGTCAAATTGGTACACAACAAGCTGCAATGATGCCACAAGTTGAGTAAATCAAATTTTTATTTCAATTTTACTTTATTTTTTAAAAACAAATAAAACAAACAAATAAAAAATATTTTAAAAGAATCAATTGATAAAAATTTTAGATTATTAGTTGCAAATCTTTCTCCAGACACAAGAATTACACTTTAATCCAGATCCAAATGCAACTTGCCATACTTTATCTCCTTTCTTTAATGTATCAATTCTTTCAATGAATTTCATTTCATACCATACAGATGATGATGATGTATTTCCAACACGATAAAGAGTAGCTCTTGATGGCATACAATCTTCATCTGTAAGTTTTAAGTTTTCTTGAAGACCATCAATAATAGCTCTTCCACCTGCATGAATACAATATGCTTGGAAAGTTTCTCTGAAATTAGGCATGAAGGTTTCTTTAGCATCAATCTTTCCTAATTTTTGTTTAATAAAGAAAATAACAAATCTAAACATATCTCTGTATGAAATGACTTGTGGCATTAAAATATTCATATTTTGTGTTAAAGCTCTTGTAACACATTTTAATAATTCTCTACCAATTTTAACTCCAACTTTACCTTCTCCATCTTCAAATTGGAAGACTGCATGATATGAATCATCATATTTACCATGATGAATTCTAACTGTTGTAAGTAATTCAAATTTAGCTTTCTTTCTCCATGAATTTTTATTAGATAATAAAACAGCAGCACCTCCCATTCTAAATAATGTATTAGAAATTAACATTCCTTTTTCTTTACCATCATACCAATTTTGAGTAATATTCTCAGTTGAGAAAACAAGTAAATTAATATTTGGATATACATTAAGAAGATCTCTTGCTAAATCAATAGAAACAAGTCCAGCTGAACATCCCATACCTGCTAAATTATAATTTTTACATGTTTGTTTTAATTTATACATATTCATTAACATAGCTGAAATTGATGGTGTTGGATTAAATAATGAACAATTACAAATAACAATATCAATGTCTTTAGTTGGATCAATTCCTGTTTGTGCAAATAATTGATCACAACAATTTTTCATAACAATTGCACATTCTTCACGTGATAATGCCATAGTTGTTTTAAATGGATATTCATGGAATGGTCTTGGTAAATATGTTTCATTTCCAAGTCCAGTTCTATAAAGAAGTTTAGTTTGGAAATCAATATATTGTTGTTCAAATAATCCACATTTAACAATAATATCTCTTACTCCATCTGCTGTAATTTTAAGATTATCATCTGGCCATGCTACAGCAAAATCAACTAAAAGTACTTGTCTTCTTCTTGTAGCCCAATAATAAACTCCTCCTGCAATTAATCCAAGAACAATTACAAATCCAACAATAAGAACACATTTATTATTTTCTACAAAAATTCCATTACTAACATCAAGGAAACTATACCATGTCTTATAACTTATATAAAGAATTATCAATGGAATTGAATATAATATAGTAGTTACTGTAAAATCAATTCCTTTAGTTAAAGGTGATCCTCTATTAACATTAGCTTTTAATGATGGTAAAATTTCATTTTGTTCTCCAATTTCTTTTGGATACCAATAATCTTTTAAACTTCTTTCTTTATCTTGTTCACAAGACATTGAATTGAATAATTAAGTTTTAGTATATCTTTTTTGTTAAGAAAGAGAAAATTCAAGGGTTTTTAATAGTTTTAAATAATTCATTCAATATTATTATTTAATAATTAATTTCTTTTCTATTTGTCATTTAAAAATAAGAAGAAGAATAAAATGAATGGAAAGAATAAAATCAATACAATGTTTCAAATCAATGATACACTACGTGAAATCATATTTTTCTTTTGAGTCTTTGCTAAGTTAACAGCTTTTTTAAGTGTAGAAAAGATAGCTTTCATTTCATCATCATTAGAAAGATAAAGCATATACCTTTGATCTTCATTATTATTTGTTGGAGAAGGAAAAACTAACATAAAAGTAGTTTTTTCATCTTCTACTTCAAAAACTTTTAAATCAATCAAATTAATTTGATTTAAAATTTTATCTTTATTTTTCTTTCTTTTTAAGAAGATAACAATGTCATTAAAAAGAATAATACTGCATACATTAACCATTTTACTTGCTTTAACCATTACTTGATGAAATTCAGCAATAAATATTCTATTATTTACAGGTGATAATTCAAGTTTATTTGTCCATTGTTTTAATGAAACTTCATTTTCATATTTTCTAATTTCTTCATTAAGCCAATTAACTATTTTATTTGCTCTATCTTTAACTGATAATAATTTATTATGTTCTTCATAATTTTCAGGTACATTTTTTGATAAAGTTTCAAGTAATAATAAATATCTTGGTAATCTTTGAATTGGATAAATTAAAAATGTAGGTATATAAATTCTTTTAATACCTAAGTCTAATGCTACTTTTCTTACTTTTTTTGATTCTTTTTTTAATGTTTGATAATAGTCATTTGCTTGATTACAACGTGTCATATATTCTTTATAAATGTTTTTCATTTCTTCACAAAAATAATTTTCAAATAAATCAGATATTTCTACCCACTCTCTTTCTTTTTGTTGTTCCCATCGTTCTTGTAATACTTTAAGAAATTTTTGTTGATAATTTGAAACGTCTTCAATATTTGAGAAAATATCATAAATTTCTTTGTCACTTAAAACTAATTGAAAATTTGGTTTTATTTCTTCTACAACACATTTAAGATGTTCACAATATTCTTGTTCAGTCGTAACAATTTCTTCTACAATTTGTTTTGCTTGTGTTTTTTTCATATTCATATCAGCAAATCGTTTTACTTCAACTGAATCTCTTCCTATATTAATTCCTGATGTTGGTTCTATATTTTCTTTTAATAATGTTAATATTTCTATACGTGCTTTTTCTAATGAATTATTATCATTTAAACTTGTCTTTAAATAATTTGCTATTTTAACTGTTTGAAGTTCTTCTCTAAGTCCTTCATCAACAGCAAGATTTCTAATAATATTTAATATCACTAATCTTAATGATGGTTCATATTGATTTAAATGTTCAACACAATTTCTTAATCTATCTGCTAATGAAAATCCACGACATACATCAAGAAGATTAGAATCAATTGTTACAGCAAGTATAACAGTTAGTGCACATGGTAATGTTTCTTTTATTTTATCATTTTGATCTCCAATTAATTCTACCGCATCAAAAAAGATACCTGATTGAATAAATCTTTTTTCATAACCTGTTGCTAATGTTAATAATGCACTAATTTGCCATGCACGAATTGTTAATTGACCACCAGTTGATATGAGAGGTTTAATAAGTTGTAAAACATTATTTAAAATAACTATTTTACGAAGTTTTACAGCTAATTCTTTATTTGGTGTTTTAATTAATTGAAGAAGCATTGCAGAAGCGAGTAATTGTTCATCATAAACATGAGAATAAAGTATATTAAGAATTGCATAAATGCCTTCTTGTTTTACGAAACTAATTTGATTTGCTGAACAAGTTAATAATATACATAAGCATTTTCCTGCTAAATTTCGATGTTGTACATTTCCTCTAAAAAAAGAAAGCAAAGGGTCAATAAGAGATTGTAATAATGTTTTATCTTCAATACTTGTAGATGCATTTAATACAATTTCTAATGTATGAGCAGTAATACTAGGATCATCTCTTGACTGTAATAAACTTTTTAAGTCTTCAAAAACTGTTATATCATATTTTACTAATAAATTAATGAAATGGGGATATATTGATAATGCATGTACAATAAATAAAGATACTTGTAATGTTCCAAAATCATCATTAGAACTTTTTAAAAGATGTGTATATAATTGTGGATGAACTCTTAATAAAAATTCTCGGAACATTGGTTGTGATATTCTTTTTAATATAAAGGATAATCCATTTTCTCGACTTGATGGATCACTAATTAATGTATTTAATTGAGTAACAATAGCTAATTCTTTAGAACTAAGAGATACGTCTGGTAAAAGATATTGGTCTATGCTTTGCATTTAACAATGAAAGGATCTTATTTTTTAATTTTACAGATATGGACGTGAAAAAAAAAATTTGTTTGTTTTGAACAAAGTGATTAATAACAGTTTTTCGTTCTTATTTTTTTATTATCAAAAATATTTTTGGTTATTCAATTTTTTTATTCTTTTATTCAATGGTTTTCATTCTTCTTCTTAACCTTCATTTATATTTTTATTTCTTTTACTCTTGAAATTGCTTTTCTTTTTTGTGTTTATATCCCTTCTAAAAATAGATTTTTATTTTTAGAATATTGTCATTTAAATTATCAGTTTTGTGTGTTATTATATAATAACATTATTTATTTAATTTTTGTTTTTATCTATCTGTATGACTTTATGATGAAGTTTAGAAATGGTATATTATTTTATAGAAAATATATGAAAATAATCGGGATTTTTTTTTTTCATGAACAACTTTTGATGCAAATGACGAATCGAAACAAGAAAAATAATCATCATAAAAAGAAATTATCTGAAAAAGAATAAACATCAATGACATCAGAATTAATCAATATTCAAATAAAAGACAATGGAATAGTTCTCGTGTATGATGAGCTTGAAAAAAAGGTTAACTATTTTGATACTCAGTGTGCTGAAACTCAAAGAAAGAATTTGGAAATGCAAGAAAAAATTATTAGTCTTGAAAAAGAGATAACAAATCAAAATGTAATTCTCAAAAGTGTGATGATGTTATCAAAAGAAGTTACCGAGATTAGAGATTTAGTTAATAAGTTAAATGAAGAAGATACCCAAAAAGAAAAGAAGATTAAACAGTTACAAGAACAACTTGAAATAAAAACTAAAGAACTTGACCAAATAAAAATTGATAATGAAAATAAAAGAAAGGAAATTGAACAAATTAAAAGTTTAAATGAAAAAATTCTTATTAATCAAGTTATCTTTGAAGAGAAACAAAAATCTGTAAACTCAGGAAATCAAAAATTAGATGGTACTTCAGTTAATAATATACCTCATACAATTAAGTGTTTAATTTGTCAACAATTAATAGGTATTGATTCAATATTTTCTCATATTGTTGAACATGTCAACAGAGATGGTACTAATATTAAGTCTATGAACAATGAAATTCAGACTCCTTCAGTAGTTATTAAACCATCAAATACTAATCAAACAAATACTCCTACTCCTCATCTACAACCAATAATTCCATCTTCTTTATCTGCAACACCTGCTATACTACCTTCACATATTGATTCAAAACCAGTTGAAAGTAAACCAATAGAGAAAAAACCAGTTGAAATTGATCCAATAAAACCAAAATCAATTGAAATTAAACCAATAAAACCAAAATTAATTGAAAGTAAACCAATAGAGAAAAAACCAGTTGAAAGTAAACCAATAGAGAAAAAACCAGTTGAAATTAAACCAATAAAACCAAAATCAATTGAAATTAAACCAAGCAATGAGTTATTAGAATGTCCTGTCTGTTCTAAGAAATTTCCTATGAGCCAAATAGAGAGTCATGTGAATAAACATTTCTGTGCAGAAGAGCCAACTTTTGCTTGTCCTTTTTGTGGATTAGATATGGGCAGTTCTAGTAAACTCCAAAAGCATGTTTCTCACGCTCATTCACGTGAAATAAAATAATTTATTTATTCATTTGTTTTAAAATATTTTTTTAGTTAATAAAAATATGGAAATTTTGATAAGTCAAAAAAGAATATCTCTTTCTAATACTGATGATTTAGTTGTCGGTGGTTAAAAAGTTATATTTTAACTACATAGAGAAGTGATAATTATTTATTATTTAAAGAACATGAAGAAATATCTTAAATATCAATGGGTAATTGTGAAGTTACAGAACGAAAAAGAAATTACTTCTTCAATATAAAATTAAACGACATTCCTTCAACAATTATTACAAATAATGAAAAGACAACAACATGCCAAGAAGATAAGAGATGTCAAAAAATAGATAAGACTAAAAATCTGACAACTCTTGTTAAGAAAAAGTATAATAAAGCAAGTTCTTTTAAACAAAGAATAAAAGAAAATCAGGTAGATGACTTTGACTTACAATTTTATTGTGATTTTAAAAGAATTAGACTAGAAGCATTGTTTCAAACAAGTTCATTTGAAGTAATTTATTATTCACAAAAAGATGAATTGAGTCAGAGACAATTAAATTCGGTTATTCAATTTAAACAGGATATTATTCTCTTTTGCCTTTTGGAAAATAGAAAAGTGATAGGAATTAGTTTTCATAATCAGCCATCTATTCTTAATCTTAAAGTAGATAATATATTTATTCTTGATCCTGACAAAACAAAATTAATTTATCCAAAACAACAACTTCCTTTAATAAATGATGTTACATATAGTAAATTACATTACAATACTTCATTACTCTTATCTGTTTATGGAGCATTTTGGATTACAAATTCTTTTATATTAAAGTTAAGTACAATAATCAATACTGTCTATTACAATGCTTCATTTTTGAGCTTTTTTCAAAGACCAATGAAAATTCAGTCAATTAGTGTAGTGATCCCTCATTATTAATTTACTATTATAATAGAAAAATACGATGACATGAATTTTTAATTATTTTTTGTTTACATATAGGACAATAATGTATTCCTGGAGTATCAAAAATAATATTAAGACAATCTGAACAATATAAATGACCACACTTTGTTGTCATTACATTTCTTGTAAGGTCAAAACAAATAGGACATCTAATTCCTTCTAACTCTTTTGTTGGTTTTAACTCTTCAATTTTCCCATGTTCTATTTTTATTTGTTCTTCAGATTCTTCATCACTACTATAACCTTTTCTTTTGTAACTTTCTTTAATATATAATGGGTCAATGTTTAATTCAAACCTTCTTCTCTGAACTGGTTCTCTGAGTATGTCTACATCAATAATATCAATGTGGTCATCAGTTAAATCTATGGTTTCAGATATTTGTTCCATTAAAATAAATTTTAAAGTTCTTTTTTAAAAAAAAAAAATCACAACAACTACATATTAATTAATCATCAACAAATTCATCTGCTTCTGGATCAAAACCAATCACTCTAGAATCAATATCAAGTCGTTTGATTAACTCTCCCATTGAAAATTGATCACCATTTTCGTTTCTACACATTTCATTATGTTGAATGTCAACTAATAAATCTCGAGATATAGTTTTCCACTATTCATTTATTATACATTTTGTTCTAAACAGAAAAAATAAACAAACTTTCTTAATCAACTGATCCAGATTTTTTCCTTCACATTTCTTTGCACTTTTTGCTTTTGCTTCCATTGCTTTTAGTTGTTTTTGTGTTTTTTGATACTTACAAATTAATTCAACTTTTAATAACTTTAATTCATTAATGTCTTTTGGTAAATCGTCAATGGTTGATTGACTATTTAATTTATATTTACATGATGGTGTAACAGATACACGTAGTCTACCTTTTGTTGATGAAGTAGACTTTCTTATTGCCCCTTGAGAAGATTTTTTTTCTTTTAGGGGAATATAATAAACTTCATCATGGCTTGTAATCTTCTGAATTACTTTAGCATCTTCTAAAATTTGAAGACTTTTTTTAAACTCATTTATTCTATGATTTGTGATTTTTCCAAATCCTTGGAGGTCTTTCTCACTAAAAAAAATCTCATTGGCTTTTCCTATTGATTCTAATATCTTTAATGCCAGTGCATCTTCACCCATTTCTATTCTTTTTATAAATTGTCTTTTCTATTTCAAGTTCTTTTTAATAAAATTCCTCAATTTTATATTTGTTATGTATCTCATTATTAATTACAAAAAGTGTTTAACGTGATGATTTGACAAATAACAAAGTAAAATTAGTTCAAAATGAAAATAAGGTTTGGGTTGAAACAAAACAACAAATAAAATATATTATAACAACGGATTTGTACTTTTTGTTTTATTTCTGGCAGTTAATTGATGTATGAAGAAATAATAATTAATTCTTGTTTTATTCCTTTAAAAGTAATGGAGAATATAAGTGGAACAACAAGAAATATATAAAACAGTTTAACAAAGAAATAACTAAGAAGTTCAAGACACCAACAGAAGAAAAAGAGTTTATGGATTTTTTAAGAATTCTTTTAATAGAACTATCTTCTAATTTTAAACACTAAAATGACATTCAAGATGTTCCTTTTATTACTTTTTGTTTTATATTCTAACGCTGAGAGGTTGTGTATTCCTATAGCAGAAAATTGTCTTGATGGATATATAGACGAATTTGGAGAACCAATTCAACCAATAAATTGTCGTGAAATTTCTGTGAAACAAAACTTTATTTACTCTAGAACTTGTTCAGAACAATTTAATATTATTCCAACAATTTTTATTAGTGATATCCTTTCTTTTACTATTGAAAATGGAGCACTTGATAATGGAGAAATTTTGATATTTGAAGAATATAGTACAGTACTTATACGAGGAGATTATTCAATATTTAGTAGCGATAATATTCATTTACATAAGTATTGTCAATTAACTTTTGATAATGCATTAACGCTTATAAATGCAAATATCATTCTTCAAAATTCTCAAGTTTTTACCGTTAAAGAAACGTTAACAATAAATAATTCAAATTTAACAATTCATGACGCACAAATTGTAATTGAAAATGTATCAACAGGTAAATTGATTAGTTATAATTCTACAATTCATATGCTTGAAAATTCATTCTTTTATATTTCACAAATAAAATTAACTCAATCAACATTATTCACATTAAACTCTCCAGGAATTAGACAATTAACATCATTAATACTTATCAACTCATATTTTTTAAATACAGATGGAGATTTATTATTTAATAACGCTTATTTAGAATTATATGATAATTCAATATTAACTCTTCGACATGGAAAATTATTATGTTTTAGAAGTAACGTTACAATTTATAACAGTTCTACTATTTTTCTTGAAGAACAAGCATCTATTAGTAATGCAATATATTTTAACGCTTTTGGTACTTCATCAGTTATTATTGGTGAAAATTCTAAAATGCATACTAGTAAGTCATTATGTCTTTATAATTCTTCAAGGTTATTAATGAAAGATAATAGTCAAGTTACATCGTCTACAGGATTACAACTTAATGACGATAGTATTATGGAAGTATCACATCATTGTTATTTTACAACGCCAAAAGTTATTCTCAAAAACAGAACCAAAATTTTATTAGAAGACTCTTATTTTATTTCACAAAAAAGTGGACAAATTATATTATTTAATGATTCACAATTATTATTTAATAACGTAATAATTTCTACTGAACCATTGATGAATGTTATTCTTTATAATTCAAGTATATTTCGTATTAAAAGTTCATCTTCTTTATTTGAAAGTCTGTCTATTTATGACAATTCAGCGTTATTTCTTTCTGATTCTTCTATTTCTTTAAATTCTATCGAAGGACATAATAAAGGTATAATCGATAGTAAACATAATTCTATTCGTTCTACATTTGTTATAATATCAGACTCTTTTCAACTCCTTTTAGTTGACACTAACTTTATTGGAATTGACACTTTTAAATCATTTCAAAATTCATTTATCTCAATGAAAGATTCATCAACAGAAATTTTAAGTCAATGTGTAATTCATACAAAATCACCAATTTCCATCGAAGAATCATTTTTTATTGTTGGCGTTAAAAATGATTATCTTAGTCAAAGTATATTAGATATACAAGAAAATATACATTTTATTATTTCTACATTAAAAAGTAGTGAATTATGGAGATTATATAATACTAAATTAATAGTTACTTCAATATTGATTGATTATACATTTGATTATTGTTTTGAATTTATTATAAGTAGTTCTACAATTTCTGATACTTTTATTGAAACAAATCATTTAAAACTTATTAATAATAAAAAAAGAATTAGATATTGTCCAAATGTTATATTTAATAAACATGTTATATGTACACTTAATGGTACTTATTGGAAAAACTCATATGATTATCAATTAGAATATCCTTTTACTCAAATAGATTGTCCATGTTTTGGTTCTGATTGTTCTATTAATACTTCTGTTAAAGAACTTTATTTTCCAAATGTACCAATTACAACAAAAATTAATAACTTTATAACAAATTTATATTTTGAAGAAAATGATAATCTTATTAGTATTACTTGTCAATCTCAAATCGCTCATTTCCCTGGAATGGTTTCTTTTCAATCAAATTCAACAGATTTAGTTATTCAACAAATTACTCATGACCAAAATGGTTATTATATTCTTTTAGATGATACTGTAAGTTTCCCTTCTTATGAAAAAACTTTATTAACAACTTCAACTTTTTCTGTTAGTGGAATGTCATTTACTTTATATACAAAAGAGTCATTTATTATTTATATGGGAGATTTATTTACTAATTATGTTTTAGATATTAATTCTATCTTTCCAATTCTTCTTCTTTCACTTAATGGATATAAAACTACTGACTCAGACTCATTTTGTCTTTTTGGTATTAGTAAAAATAATCAAAATATTTGTCTTAGAAAAGCTAGTATTCAATGTCCTTCTTTCACTTATCCTAATTCTGATTTTACTTCATGTCTTCCATGCGTTGATGTTCATTGTAAATGGTGTAATAATAAAATGTGTTTTGTGTGTGCTGATGACTATTTATTATCAACAGATGGTATTTGTGTTATGTTAAATGATAAGTCTCATTCAACAAATAACCATTTGGTTTATTGTGAACAAGGAAGAGTTTTAAATAATATGTGTATTGATTATGATAGTAATGATCCTTGTGTTTTATCATATGAATCAAAATGTTATCAATGCAATGGAAATCTTCATTATATTTTAAATGATAATAGTTGTTCTGTTGCAGAACATTCATTAATTGTAAGAACAAATTCAATTATTCAATGTGATGATGGATATTATGAATTAAATGGAGTATGTATTTCATGTAAACAATTTGGAAATCAATGTTCTCAATGCTCAGCAACTAAATGTGAAAGATGTAGTGATGGAACTCCTCTTCAAAAAGATGGGACATGTAGAATTCCTTATTGCCAAAAACAAGAAAATGGAAAATGTAGTATTTGTGTTGATAATTATTCTACAAATAGTATTGGTTATTGTGAAGAGAAAATTGAAAATTGTCAAATTAGAGCTATTTCAACAAAAGAATGTATAATTTGTCAACCTGGTTTTGTTCTTCTTAATGGTCAATGTTATAAATCTATTCAAAACTGTGAAACTAATACTCAAGTGGGTTGTCTTAGATGTGAAAATTCATATTATGCTTCTGAAGGAGTATGTAAGCCATGTGACTCTAATTGCAGAACATGCCTTTTGGAGAAAAATAAATGTTTTAGTTGTGATTCAGGATATTATTTAACAAATCATATGTGTGAAACAGATTCAATTATTTCTGAACGATGTGCATTCTATTCTATTAATGGTAAATGTGTAAAATGTAAAAATGGATATTATAGAGATGGAGTTTCATGTATTAATTGTGATATTTCTTGCTCAACATGTAATAACGCAAATGGTTGTTTAACTTGTAATTCAACTAATTTTAAAAATAGAGATAAAGTATGTGTCCCTAAATCAACTATCCAAGGTTGTGCAGTAGAAATAACAGAAAAAGGTTGTTCTAAATGTACTGAGGGTTATTATCTGAATAATAATATTTGTGAGAATTGTTTAGATTCATGTATATCATGTACTGATAAATTTACTTGTAATAAATGTGCTAATGAAACTGTTTGGTATTCAGGAAGATGTATTTATTATAGTAAAATACCATATTGTATTAAAGCAGAAAATTCTCGTTGTACTAAATGTTCATTTGGACATACTGTAATAGATGATACTTATTGTTCTAATTTTTCACTTCCATTATGGACTTTAGCATTAATTATAATAGGAATCATCTGTTGCTTGGGTGTTTTTACTTCTATTATAGTATCTCTGACTCTTTTAAGGTTTAGAATATTAAAGAAAAACAAATTAAAGTATACTTTAGAAAATATGCCTAAAACAAAAGTATTACAATATCATTTAGATAATTTTATTGTATGTGATTTAAATGAAATAAATTTCGATTCTTTTAATAACCCAATTCCTGTCAGAAATATTTCTTTTGAATCTATTCATATTGGTAATTCTGGAAAATATCCAATTATAGTCCAACCAATTCCAATCACAAATAATAAATATAAAATAAAATTTAAACCAGAAGTTGTTAACCTTAAACCAAAGAAGATGTGTAAAATTAAAGTTTATATCTTTCCTTTTTGTACATTAGAAGAAGAATCTACTATTAACGTGCGTGTTAATGAAAAAACAATATATAAATCAAAATGTTGTTCTATAAAATTATCATTTATTACTCAACATTCATGTTATATTAATGGAGATGATTTAAAACAATTTGAACAAATTGGTGAAGGATCAACAGGAATTGTGTATAAAGGATTATATAAAAGACATCAAGTTGCAATTAAAAAAATTAAAAATATATTTTTAGACGTGAATGAAACTGAACAATTTCATAAAGAAACACAATTACTTAACCAATTTCGCTGTGATTATATTGTTTATTTCTATGGATCAGTTATTAATCCTTCAAATTTTATGTTTGTTACTGAATTAGCACCATATGGTAGTTTTCATAATCTTATTGTAAATCAACCTGATACTTTTAATAAAAAATTTAAATATAAATGTTTATTAGACACTGCACATGGTATTCAATACCTTCATTCTAATGGAATTTTACATAGAGATATTAAATCAGATAATATATTATTATTTTCTTTAGAAGAAATATTACCAATTAATGCAAAATTAACAGACTTTGGGTCATCAAGAAGTATTAATATGTTATTGACAAATTTAACATTCACAAAAGGAATTGGAACACCTGCATATACAGCCCCAGAAATATTAAATAGTAAAAGTTATAAAAAACCAGCTGATATTTTTGCTTTTGCTATTACAATGTATGAAATATTAAATTGGAAAACACCTTATGATACTCCTCAATTTGAGTATTCATGGAGTATAGCTGAATTTATTACAAATGGAAAAAGACTATTAAAGACTGATAAAATAAATAATGAAGAATATAAACTTATTCAGAGATGTTGGGCTGATGAACCAAATAAACGAATGACTGTAGAAGAAATTATTTCTCAACTCCAAAAGTTGTACTCTAATTAAAACAAAACATTGTATTTAAGAAGTTAGTCAAGTTAAATAAATTCTAAATAACCTTAAAAAACAAGAATAGTCAATAAATAAAATCAATAATTATTTTTTATTATTAATACACACCTTAATATTATTCGTTTGTTATAAAATCTAAACAACTTTGCAATCTTCTATATCTTCTGATGTTAATGATTGACTAAATTCATTGAGCATTTCATTATCTTGATGAATTTCATGTTCTTGTTCTATTCTTCGTTCAACAATTGCATGAATAGTATCACAAAACATTTGAGAAATACCAACATTATCAACAACATCTGTTTCATAATATTCAAAATGATATTGTTGAAAGAGTTGTCTTACTTCTTTTGATGAAACACTTTTCTTTTTATCGTTGCATTTATTTCCAATACCAACAACTAACATACCAAATGTTTCTATTCCAAGTTTATTATTAATATAATTTCTTGCCCATTCAAGTGATGTTGATTGAGTTAAATCAATAACAATAAGTAATGCATCAGGTGGTGTTGAAACTCCTTTTGCTAAACTTGCTTCTCTTAAACGTTCTTCTATATCCCATAATTTACAAGTCCATAATCTTCTTTCAAAACTTACAACTAGTGAATTAACTTCACATCCAATTGTAGTAATTCCTTGATGTGGCTCTTTATTCTACAAAATATAAACTATTTTAAATTGTTTTAAATTGTTTTAAATTGATTTTAAACAAACCATAATGCGATAAATAATACTACTTTTTCCACTTCCTTGACTACCAACAGTTTCAATTTTAATAAAAGTATTATTTGGTTGCATTGAACCAATTCTTATCAATGGATTTCTAGTTGAATTTTGCTTTCTTTTTTTACAAAAAAAAATTTTCATTTGGTTCAAATTGAAATAAACATATATTTTTATTATAATAATAATAATATTATTATTATTATTTTATTTTATTTTGTGTTTATTAAAAATTGTTCAATTATTCATTAACAATAATACCATTTTCATCTAATTCTTCTTGTTCTAGATGATGTGTTTCTTTTACTTCATTATGATGTTCAAATACTTCTTCATCTTCAACAAGCATACGGTGTTTAAGTGAAGCAATATCATTTGACATTGCATTGATTCCAATAAAACTAGATTCATTAACCCATCGTTTCAAAGTAGAATAAAATAAACTAGACTGAGGAATATTATCAAGAATAATATCTTTTGTAGCATTTTTACCAATGATCATTCTATAAAAAATCCAATGAACTAAATTAATGATATATTGTTTATGAGAAGCAATAAAGTCTTCAGATTCAAACATTAATGTTGAAGGTAATTCTCCATTTTCTGTTGTAAACCACCATTTCATATAAGGTAAAAAATCAACAATAATTACTTTATCCATTGATTCATTAACAAGAATATTTGATAATGAAAAATGAAAATGAAGAATTCCTTCATCTTGAAGTTCTAATAAAGCACTCGTTAATCCTTTCATAATTTGTATAATTTGATAATCATTGAATGTGTCTTTAGTTTCAAATATTGATTCCATTGATGGTAAAAAATGATGATTATAAATAACATATACATTTAAATTAGTTATAGAAATTCCTTCTGTTTGTTGGATATTAGGATGATGCAGTGACTTTAATTTTATTAAATCATCATTTAAAGTTTTTTGATTTAATAATTCTTCTAATGCAACTTGTTTATATGACACAGTTTTACCAAGGAAAATAGTTGAACCAACTACACTATGTTCAGTTTGTTTAATTGTTTGTCTATGAAGAAGAAATTCGATATCAATTGAAGTTTTTGTAGTAACAAGAGTATTTTCTTCATCTACTAAAATTCCTTTATATCCACTAAATGCTCTAAAAAATAATAAACCATCAGTTAATATAACAACTAATGATGTTATTAACAATGAATTTATTAAATCAACAAGTGGATGAATAAAACAACCTGGATATAAAATAATTGCTGATGCAATACAACTAATTATATCAATAAATAAAATAAATGTTACAATAAATAAGATAATATCAACAAATAATACTACTCTTTTTGAACCAAATGATCTTACAAAAAATATAAATAATAAAATTACAATCATTAATATAGTACAAAATAATGCAGTATATACTAACATAATTGTTGTTGCCCATTCATACCATAATGAATGTACCATTACAACAAACATAAAATAAAATACTCCTCCTGGTAAAATAACACTATTAACATATTTCTTTTTATTACTTTGAGTAAAAAATATATATACAATAGAATAAATAGTATATGTTAACCCACAATATAATAATGTTTGTGATGTCCAAAATAAATATGATTTTAAAAATGGTTGCACAAAATAAATAGCTATTTTCAATATAAAACACCCACAAAATAATAATAAATGTAAATGAAACATAAAAGAATGAAATGGCATTCTTAAAAACAAATATACAAAATTAAGGAAAAGTACACCAACAATAAATGGACTTATAGATGCACTAGTGGCATAAAAATATTTAATTGTTTCTGTTTCGATGTCTTCCATGTTGTTAAGAATGATATAAAACTCTATTTTGTTTTATTCTTTTATTAATTATTTTATATAATTTTATTATATTTAAACTATTAATTTTATTATTTCTTTTTTTTCTAATTAATTGAAAAAAAATTGAAAAACAAAACTAAAAAAAATGTGAATTTTAGGCACAATTCTTGCAAACAATTTTGCCATTTTTAATCATGTAAGACCCTTGAATTGGTGCACCACAATTGGTACAAACAAAACACTGTGGATGATAATTCTTTCCATCAACTACAACATACTGACCATCTAATGGTTTACCACATGTTTCACATTTTGGAACATGATTAGCAACATAACATAATGAACATACTGGATTTCCTTCAATTTCCATTAATTTATGTTCTCCTCCAAAATGCTCTCCACATTCATTACAAACAAAACATTCTTCATGCCATATTCTATCAAGTGCCATTACTCCACTTGAAACTTCTTTTCCACATTTACCACAATGATCTTTATCTCCTTTTTCAGTTATTGGATGACAAGCATTTTTACATGAATGCTCTTCTTTTGGTTCTTCTTTTTTGATATTTTCTTTTGACTCTTCTTTCTTGATATTTTCTTTTGGTTTTTTTTTTTCTTCTTTCTTTTGTTCTTCTTGTTTACTTTCTTCTTTCTTTTGTGTAGTTGTTGGATTTGATTCAATAATTTTTTCTCCACAATTTGGACAGAATTTACTTCCATTAATACTTGTTCCACAATTTGGACAGAATTTAGCACCACTAACTGGTTTAGGTTGTGGCTCAGTAGATTTAGTTGGAGTAGTAACTGGTTTAGATTGTGGTTGAGAAGAAGTAGTTGGTGTAACAACTAGTTTAGCTGGAGTTGATGGTGTTGATTTCTTTGATTTATTTGGACGAGCAACTAATTGAAGGAAAGGTTGATGTGCATTAACACAATCTTCAATAGCAGCAACAAGAGAGTCTTCATCACTAACAATTAATGGACCTGAAAATAATAAGAATTCTTCTTCAATTTTTTGTTCAAGTTCCATCATTAATCTTCCATATAAATTTGCATGGGATCTATCAAGGTTTAATACTTTATTTGATCCGTTCCATTCAACTTTAATTTTAATAAGAGGCATGTGTAATTAATTGAGATTTAACAATTTTTTTAGTTCATAGTTTTTTGTCTTAAATCTCCTAATTATTATTAGTTCTTTCACCTTCACATCAAAATAATCTTCTACTTTTAGACTCATTCAAAAATGGTAAACTTTCTCCTTTTAAGTTCTTTTTTTGTTTTTTCATTTTATAAATCATTTTAAATTTACTAATTTTTGTTAAAGAAAAGAGAAAAAGAATAGGAAATTAAATCTCTATGTAGGGTTAAAAATAAGAAAAATAATTTTTACATAAAAGAAGTTAGAAAACTCATGTAAAAGAAGTAAGATCTAATAAAGTAAATATATGTCACAAATACAAGAAAAGGAAGAGCATCATAAAATGACATTAAGAGAACGAGAAGAAAGTCAAGAACAAGAAAAAATAGAAATAGCACAAGCCATATATATTCGTTGGAAAACTAAGAAATTAATAAATGAACGATTATTAACACCTGAAAAAGCAAAAGCCAAAGCAACATCTAAATGGTCAAAATTAGATGAAGATAAAATGCAAAAATTTTATAAAGTTGCATCAATTGAATGTCATTTGTTAAATGAAGATGGTACTTATGGAAAAAGAAAGAAAGGAGATATTACAAAACGAAAAGAAGAATATCATCCCTATTTATTATTTTGTAAAGAAAATAGAGACAGAGTTAAAGCAGATGGTCATACAGGGAATGAAATAATGAAATATCTTAGTAATATGTGGAAGGCAATGTCTGAAGATGAAAGAAAAAAATACAAAGATTTAGCTCAACATAATAAAGATTCAGTAAAGAAATAATCAATTTCATAAATGAATATTGTTTATAATATAAGAATAATTTCTTTTATTTTATTGAACTAAAAAATCATAATGTTGTTGGTGTTTTTGATTGTCATTATTGGTGCATTTGCACAAATAAACGAGAAAACAATTCAAAAAGAATTAATTAAGAAAGTAAATGAAGGAGTTGAAATGCAAAAAATTTATTCAGACTTAGATTTATTATGTAAACAAAATAGTATCGTTAAAGTTAAAAAAATAGATATACGTAAAGCTTTAGACATTGAAGCTGAACGTGTAGCATCAAAAATCAAAGCGAAAATAGAAAAAGAAAAAAGAGAATTAAGAAAAAAGAGAATTGAAACTGAAATGAGACAATTAAGAAAAGATGCTTTACTTGTTAAAAAATTACGTTTTGAAAATAGCATTGAAAGAGATAAAGAGGCATTAAAATTGGCAAAGAAAAGTAGTCCAATAAATTCATCATTCTTTAAAGATGCAATGAAACAAACTTGGAGATTAAAACAAAAAAAATTAGGAATTAATGATAAAAAACAATAATTAATTTTTTTTTTGTTATTTCTAAAATTAAATATTTTTAAATACTTAAATAATAATTCTATTTATTTATTAAAAAAACAATCATTCTTTTTCAAATTTACTAAACTGAAATAACTATGAGTCGTAAATTAATAAAATATTTTATACAATAATTTTATTAATTAATTGTCATTTCTAATGAACAAAACAATTTAATTAAAAAAGTCTCATGAAAAGAACTAAAATTATAAGTATATGATTTACATCATCTTATTATTTGCTATTGCCTCTTTAGCAAAATCTCCTTTATCTGATGAAAACCGAGATTATTTTAAAACGAAAACTGAACATAAACGAACATTATTTTTTTCAAATGACTGGACAAAAACAACTGTTGATAATTTCCAATTTGCTGCAGTTCCATTTCCTCCAAAATCTAGTTCACAAATATACGATGAAACTAAAATAAATTATAATCAATATGAGGATGCTTTAATTCTTGAAGGATGGTGGTTTTTAGTAATGGCATGTGCTGTTGTTGTTATTTCATTTTTATGGTATTTGGCACGTCCATGTTTAGGAGGAGTTCGAGGTACACAAGGGTGTTTCTGTCCAAAGCCATTTAAAAAGGCATCTGGAGAAGGATATTCATATATTCATGTAAAATGGTGTCAAATTATTATTATTGGTTGTTTTATTATTTCTATTATTCTTATCCTTTTATTGATAATGTATAATGCATCAATTAGAGCAAAGATAAATGCAGTTAGAACTTCAAGTGATAATACCGTTGATTCAGTTGATAGAAATATTAGAATTGTTCAGAGTGCATTTAATGATATGCCTTTTGAGTCTCAAAAGGCAGATTTTGACAATAAGATTAAAATGATGTCATATATTAAAGATGGAGTAGAAAAAGGTGTTGGTAGTCTTAGTGATTATGTAAAAGAATATAATCGTTCTAGAGAAGGATTAGAATTATTTGCTATTTATATTACTTCTTTCATGTTAGGTCTTTTATTATTTGCAGCATGTACATTTCATTATCAAATGGCAAGTGGACTGTCTATCTTTGGATGGTTACTTGCTGCTGTTTTTATTATTGCAGCTGCTGTAACATATCCTATGGATATTGCTGTAGCTGATGCTTGTTTAGTTGGAGATAAGATATTAAATTCTAATAGTTATGAGACTCAAAGTGTTGTTTTATATTATTTTCCAATCAATGATCCTTCAGTTACCCAAATGATTGGATTATTTGAAGATAAGTTGTTACCAGAAACTATTTCTAAAATGAAATTGTTTTTAGAAGAACATTGTGGAAAAGAGTTATTATGTAATTCATTCCCTGCTGACTCCTTGACAGTTAGTAATTATAATGATTATAGAAATGTTCCATTTATTCATAATACAACAACATTATATTCATATTCTTCATGTACTCAGTATTGTGACTCAGCTAATAAAAAGGTTGCAAAAGAATATGGTGATTATTATTCAACTATAGATGCTATTAACAGTTGTATTAAAGGACCATTAGAGAGTTTAAGACATGGAGAACCATTTGAAAGTTATCTTTTTAATGTTATGAGTTTCATGTGTACAAAAGACCTTCATACTTATACTTTTGTTACGACTTGTCTATCATGTGCTGTTGGATTAGTTATTTGGATTATTTCATTTATTTCTATGTTAGCTGGAAAACGATTTAATAAACATAATCGGTCTCGTGCTACTGAAAAAGAAATTGCATTTAGAGGTACTGCTAATCAATATGAATTACCAAATTTCAACTTAATTGATTATTAATTTCATTAATGTTCATCTTTTTTATTTGATTATTTTTTTTTTGTCTTTTTGATTTTATGAAATATTATGAAAAAAAATAAATAAAAATGTTCAGACACCATAATCAACACAACTTATCTTTGGGTAGATAATTCTGAGTGGTGCATGGTAAAATCTCATCATTACATTATTTAATATTTTTAATTTAGGTTATTGAATAATATAAGTTAATATATAATTATTATGGTATGTGTATTATGTTAAAATAATAAAATTAATTAATATTATTTTATATAAGAAAATTAAAACTAATTTAAAGATTATGTCAAATCCTTTACTTACACACTCCTTCCTTGGTGAAATTGATCAATCAAAAATTAATGAATTTTTAAATAAAGATGTTAATATTGAAGAAGAAGAAGAGTCTGATTATGAAGAAGCATTAACTACAATTAAAAAGAGAAAAGAGGGTAAGGTTCAGAAGAAAAAGAAAGTACCAATTATTTCTAGTGTTCCACCTCAAAAAAGTCAACAATAAATATTTGTTTAATTTTAATTTGGTCATTGTTCATTTTCACTTTTTGATTCAAACTCATCTAATAGTTGATCAATATCATTTGTATTAGTAGGATCAATCAAATTTAATCCTACTTGGAATTTATCTATAGATGATCGTGAAACATCAATCAATCTTAATGCTTCATCAACATCTTGACTATTTACTTCATTACTAAATCTTAGTCGTGCTACAGATTGTGCTAAACGAATAATAGCAAGAAGACTTCTTGGAGTAATAATTAAATCGTCTAACTTATTTTTAGGTTTTGACCTCTTTTTAACATAACTATCAACTATGTAATCTGTTAATGTCTCAGGAACTATTGGATTAAAATTCTTTGCATTTCCAATAAATGCCCTTAAAAATTCAACATCATAAATTGCTTTACTTTCTCCAACTTCTCCTCTATGTGATTTACAAACAAATAATGCAAGTTCTTTATCAAAATCTTGTGTAGCATCATCAAGTAATACAAACAATAAATCAAAACGAGATACCAATGCTGCTGGTAAATTAACATTTTCTGATACAGATTTTCTAATATCATATCTTGCTTTTATAGGATTAGCGGCTGCAACAATACTCACTCTTGCATTTAAACTTGTTGTAATTCCTGCTTTAGCAATAGAAATTGATTGTTGTTCCATTACTTCATAAATAGCTGTTCTATCAGTTTCATCCATTTTATCAAATTCATCAATACAACAAATACCCATATCTGCTAAAACTAATGCCCCTCCTTCTAATACCCATTCTTTAGTTAATTGATCTCTTATAACTGCAGCAGTTAAACCAGCTCCTGATGACCCTTTTCCAGTAGTATAAACACTTCTTGGAGCAACACCAGCAACAGCTCGTAATAATTGAGACTTAGCAATACCAGGTTCACCAACTAATAATGTATTAATATCACCTCTAATACTAACACCATCTTTCATTCTTCTAGTTGGTGCACCAACTACAGTAAGTAATAAAGCTTTTTTTAAATCTTCTAAACCATAAATTTCAGGAGCTATAGAAAGTGCTAAGTTATTGTAAATTTCTTCAAATGGAAAATCTTTTACTTCATCACTAATTCGAGTTTTAATTTCAGAAGAAAGTGTGTATGTTGTGTAATTCTTTTTTTGTTTTTCAATAGACATTGCTTTCATAAAAGTATTACTAATAAATCCAATATGCATATCTTTTCTTGAAAAAAATTCATCTGGAAGATAAATACCTTCTATTGTAACAACATCTCCTGGTGCACATAATTGAACTAATGGTCCTTCTACTTTAACAATCAAATTACGTGGAGTTGCTCCCATAGGAACTTCTTCAACTAATTCTTGAATTCTAATTTCTTGAATTTTAACAAATTTTGATGCACGAGGTTGCATTAATAATGTACCTGTTTTATTTCCTTTTTGACAAGTCTTTGAAGGACATTTATATTGAGGTAAAAATCTATTACCAATGATTGTTTGATATAATTCATTACCACATTGTTCACAAGAATAAGTAATAACTCGTGCTAATGGCCTAACGTCAGTTGCACGAGTAACAATACCTTTAACTCGAACTAATTTACCTATTTTTTCAGCTCTTAATTCTCTTATTGGAGTAATTTCTTGATTTTTTCTTGGTCTAATAAATGTTTCAAATTTTGCTTTTAATTCTAATGGAAAACTTAATTTCTTTGTTTCCCTTTGAATAGTTAAAACATCAACTGAATCTAATGAAGAAGGATCAAGTCCAACACGAGATGGAAGTAAAGTATAAATAACTTCTTTAAAAATATTTAAATAACGAGCTGCATTACTTTCTATTCTATCAAGAATCTTTTTATCTTTAATTTGATTGTCATTTAAAGATAAATAATCCTTTACATCATCAAGAAAAATTGTAAAATTACCATCTCTTTGAATATTTATTTGTTCTAATCTACTTTTATATGTTGATCCATCTGATAATACATATGTTGTAAGAAAATGTTCGATTGTTATTTTGTCTTTATTAAGAACACTTTGTTGTCTGTTGATAGTATCTTGAAGTGTTAATTGATTTCCCTCTTTTTTTTTACGTTGAGCAATCATTAATTTCCTCTTTCTTATTTTTAAGATTTTTTGTTTTTACTCAATTCTTTTATTTTTTATTTTTGATATATAAAACAAATAAATAGTAAAGTCAAAAAGAAGTTAAATTAAAATGAGTTATAATGAAATGTTTACAAATCCATGGTCTTTATCTTCAGTAAATGATAATTTTTCATCTTGACAATATTTAACTACAGCTTCTTTAATTTTAGAGAATCCAACAGTATTATGATGTCCCATTCCACATTGAACTTTAACAATTGACTTTCCTGCTGCCTTTCTTTTATTAATTTGGTCTTTAACCATATCAAGAGCTCCATCTATTTGAAGACCATGTAAGTCAATAGCATCTTCATCAACCATATAAATATTAACTTCTTCAAAAATAGCAATGGTTGCTTTCTTTTTCATTTCTTCTGCTTCTTTTCTAGTAGCTTCATATTTTTCAAATAATTCATTCTTTTCTGGTGATTTAGCATCTTTAGCTTTGATGTATTTCTCTCTTAATTGAGTAGCTTCATTAAATTTTTGATCAACTGGATCAAAGTGCTTTGATTTAATTCTATCAATCAAAATACTTTTATCACCAGAAACAACTTCTTTCTTACCATTTGGTCTATCTTCTATAACTGGTTCATCTCCTTTTGGTTTTGGTACATGAACTACATTATCATCAGATTTTGTTTTAATTTCTTTTTGAGTTTTTTCTGTTTTAGGAGAAGTAATTTCATCAGTTTTAAGATGTTTTTGTTTTTCTTTAATTATAGCATTTGCCTGTTCAATCATAACTAATACTTTTTTATAAATAATTGAATCTTCAATAGGCCATGTTAATTCCTTCTTATAAATAAGATATCCAAGATAAGCTAAGATACTAATAATAATAATGAAAAGTAATCCCATAAATTAAAAATAATCAAATACTTCTTTTTTAAGTTCCTTTTATAGTTCTTTGGTGTTCTATTTTAAGTATTACTTCTAAATATATCATTTTATTTATCTTTATTGGTTCATTCAAATTTTTTTAGTTCTATTAGAATCTTAATTTTCATTGTTTCTAAATATAGTTTTTATTAAAAAATAAAAAAAAAAGAAACAAACAAAGAAGAATGGAATTAGATAAAACCCTCATTGATAATTATGAAACTCAACCATTAACATCAAAAACAAACAAAATAGATAAAGAAAGAGTCAAAAGTAGTAATGAAATAGAAATATTATTTGAAAAAGAAGAAAAGAAAAATGAATTAAAAGAAGAATTAAAATGTAGTATATCACCACCGATATTAATTGATGAAAGTCAATTAAATTCAAAAAAGAAACAAGTATTTGAATTTTATAGAAAAAAAAAGAGAACTATATTTGAATTAGAATATGAAGATTGTTTTTTTCCAAGTGATAATGAAGTATTTGAAGAAGATGATATTCGATTACAACGTGAAATTAAAAAAGCAAATGAAATGAATTTTGAAGAATTTAATTCACAAGTAATAATAAACAAAGGGTTTGATAGGAAACATCGACATATTATAATATTCAATCAAAGTGTATTAATTGATAATACTCCAAACTTTCCACAAAAATTTTACTTCTTTGTTTTAAAGTCATTACAATTTATTTATCAAAAAGAATTTGTTATTATTTATATTAATAAAATGAATCAAATTCCTTATGGTATTTTTGAAATGTTATATTTAAAACTTCCAAATCAAATAAAAAGTAATATTTATAAAATTTATTCATTTATCTCTCCTTCAATTTCTTTAAAACAAATTAATTTTATAAAGTCTGATGATTTAAATAAATTTGTAGTAGTAAAAGATTTATTTGAATTTTTTAAAGACATTCCAATGGGAACAATTTCTATTCCTCATGAATTTGTGGAATCATTAGCTACTTATCATCCTATTTTTGGTATTCCTTTGTCAGAAGCCGTTCATCATCCATTTAGAGGTTCAACAACTGCTCCATTAATTATTGAATGTGCTATTATGTATTTTTCATCTAAAGTTGAAGTTATTTCAATAGAAGGAATTTTTAGAATGGCTGGTTCTAAACAAAGAATAGAACAATTAATTAAAGAATTTAATTGTGGAATTCGTAGTGAATTTGAAGAAGATGAAGATCCTCATGTTGTTTGTTCATTATTAAAACATTATTTACGTTCATTGCCAACACCTTTATTAACTTATCAAATTGGAGATGAAATTGCGGAATTATTTAAAAATGACACATTGATAACTGAAGATAAAATAAATTCAATCATTAAAAAATTACCAGAAGAAAATAAATCATTATTATATCATCTTGTTGTGTTAGGAAAGATAATTTGTAATCATGTTAGTGAAAACAAAATGTCAACATCAAATATGGGAATTATGTTCGGTCCTTGTATTTATTGGAGTGAAATTACTAACATTGAAGCTATTTCTAAAGCAAAGAATATTAGTTTATTCTTTACTTATTTATTGGATCATGCAGATAAAATACTTGCAACTGAATGAATTTTATCAATTAATTATCATTAAAAATATCTTTAAGTCAGTTTAAAATGCATTTTCATCAAATGAAAAAATATTGGAAGAACTTGAAGTTGTTCTATGAAGTCCTCGTTTTGGTTTTGTATCAAGTTGTGCAAAAATATCAACTTTTTCTGGTGGTTGTACAACAACAGGAATTTCTGGAGAATATAAATTTGGTATATTTCTTTTTGATTGAGAAGGTGGTGTTACTGGACATGTTCCAGGTTGAGGCTGATATAATTGTCGAGGATACCAATTATTTGGAGTAACACTTCCATTATAATAACCACAAGATTGATTAGGACTAAAACTTAATGGATTTTCATAATTATTATATGGAACAGAAAGATTGTATAATGACATATAATCCTTTTTATCTTGATTTATTGAATTTTGTAATATTGATGAGTCAAAAACAGGAGATGGAGATGGTTGAATAGGAGTTTTAGGTTGGTCATATAATGAACAAATATTTCTAACAATATTTGATTTATCTATTTCTTTTTGATCATCAAAACTAATTAAAGGCTTTTCTTTTTGTGTTTTTTCAGTAATACCCATTATTCTAGTTTTTGATGTAGAAGATCCAAAAGAACTTCTTCTAATAAACATTGTTTTATTATCATCATTATTAGTATCACTTGGTTGTTTGGAAACTTGTTTTTCAGTTATTGTAATTTGTTCTTTTAGATGTTGTTTAGGTACAATAGAATTTGTTTTAACAGCATTGAAAAGATCTTGAGAATTCCACCTTTTATTTTGGTCAATTTCAAGAGTATTTTCTAACCAATTTTTTTCAGTGTCTTCAATTGGTTTGGGTAAATCATAGCTTCCTCTTATAATTTTCATTGGACTACCATCAAAAGGAGTAACAAAAAATTCTAATTTGTACAATAAACATCCTGCTGCCCAAACATCAGCTTTATCTCCAATTGTATTATAATTATACACTTTTACCATTTCAGGAGATCGATATTCAGGAGTTGTGTGTTTTTCTATATCTTCTTCAACTTCGCTAGCATCACCTTGTTTACGAGTAAGATAAGTAGATGTAGGAATAGCACTACCAAAATCAGTGAGTTTATATTCTCCATTAAAAATTAATACATTTTCAATTTTGATGTCACGATGACAATAACCTTTACTATGTAAATAAGCTAATGAACCACTTACACATAACATTACATCTCTTATTTTATTTGTTCCAATTGTTGATGGATAACAATGTTCCATTTCATTAACAAGAGTTCCACTACAAAACTCCATTGCAATAGCAATTTGATGTTGTTGCTGAAGAATAATAGAACTAAACATAAGATTAAGAATATTATAAGTTATTTAACAAAACAAACTCAAGTAATTTTATTACAAAACGACTTTCACTTGCAATCTTATGTATTTTAATCTCATTTTCTATTCTTTGTAAAGTATCTTTTGAACTAAATCCCATTACTTTAACTGCTACTTTTCTTTCAAAATGATCTTTTCCAACATATACCTGACTGAAACCACCTTCACCAATTTTTTTTTCTATTTGGATAGTACCTGTGCTGAAAGGTATTGAATTTCCCATTTAAAATTCAAAGTCCTTTTTTTCTTTTTTTTTTTTTGTTGTGAGTTGCATTTGACGTTACTCTTTTTTACTTGTAAATGTTCTTAGAAAAACACTTTTTACCTCATAAAAATGTTATGAAGTTAAAGTCAATGACGTGGGAAACAACATAAAAACCTCAATCATAAAAAAACTGTTTAATTTCATTTTATTATGAGCCTTTTGAACACTTTCATGAATAGTAATATACGGGCTTTAACTAAAAAATCGAAATCTTTAACTAAACCAAAAAAAGTAGAGAAGAATCCAACAATCTCTTCAAGACCTACTTCTGAGTCAAGTTCTATTGTTTCTGATAGCATTGTTTTTAGTGAAAAATGGAAACAAACACCATATACTTTAAATGGAACAATTGTTTATATTGTTATGGTCAATGAACTTGGTCAATTTATTCGACCTTTTGAAGCATCTGATTTTGGTCATTTACGACAAAGAAAGTCGAGTTTTAAGAAATGGATGATTTCATCTCCTGAAAATAGTCGCAATTTATATGCTGTTGTAGTTAATTCCGATTTCAAAATTCTTGATGGTGTTCGGGCTCAGTGATTGATTTTGTTTTGTATACTTTTTCTTTTTTTATTATTTTTCGTTATGTGACAAGACAATCTAAAATGATGAAACTAATAATATCACAAAAATAACAAGATTGTTAATCGTCACTTCCTCCTAAATACTCTTCCCAGCGTGCTATTCTTTCTCGTTTCTGTTCTTCGGTTTCTTCTACTTTGTAATTGGTATATCCATCATAATAATCACAACTTAATTGATGTTTATCAAACCATCTACCATTCATTAAGGCAACACATTGTTCAGCAGCACTATGGTCTTTAAATTTAATAATAACTATTCCCTCTGGATTTGTATTAAACACAGTCACTTTTTCAACACTTCCACATTTAGCCTTCACTTCTTCTTCAACATCTTCTTTCAACTCATTGAAGAATTGTTCATCTTTTGGCTATTACTATTAATTTGTCTTTCTATAACAATATTTTTGTTAAAACAAACCTTCTTTAAGTCAAACATATTTTTGATAACTACATGAACTAATTTGTTATCATCCCATTCATCTTCTCTTGTTTGGTCATATTTTTTTTCGTTAGGATTTGAATCTTCAGGTTGTGAAAAAATACCTTCAATCTGAATGAAACATTTTGGTTCTATCTGAGAATTATCATAATATTCAATAGCTTTTTGAACTGACTCCTCATGTAAAAAATAAAGAACACCTTCTTTTGTTTTATTACTTTCATTCTCATTAGAGAAATATGCATCATATTGAGTTGGTGTTTTCTTTTTTGCAATTCCACAATGACGAAAATAATCAACAAATTGTTCAATAGTGTACTTTATTGGAATATTACTAACACGAATACCATTCATCACTTCTTTTTGTACAGTCTTTGGTAATAATTTATTGTGACTCCGTTTCTTTGAACGTTTAGGTTGTTTGTTGTTGTTATCCATAGACTTTCAAAAATAAAAGAAATAAAGAATAAGGTACATTATGATTACGTGGAATTGACTCATGCCACATAGGAACTTAATCCTCATAAAGAACTATTTAAACTAAACTAAGTTAATTACTCTTTAAAATGGAATCATTTGGTGTAACAAACTCACAAATTCAAGCATTAAAAGTTTTTATTAATCTTCTTCAACAACACCCAGAGTTTCTTAATGACGATAGACTTGATTTCTTAAGAAATTATATTATTTCTCTTGGAGGTAAGATTCCTGAACCAAAAAAAGAAGAGCCAAAATCTGAAGAAAAGCCAATGGAAGAAGAAAAGAAAGAAGAAGAAACAGCTAAAGAAAAACCTATGGAAGAAGATATTAAAATTGATGATCCTGATGTTATTCCTGGGGATACAATTGAACCAGAAACTATTAATATGGATATTGAAGTTACTGAAGAAATGGAGGTTCAAGCTTCTACTAAACGAAGTGAAGCTATGGAAGCATTTAATAATGGAGAAGTTGATAAAGCAATTAATACAATTACTGAAGCAATTAAGTTAAACCCAAGAGTTGCTAACTTTTTTGCTTGTCGTGCTCAATATTACAATAAAGCTAAAAAGCCAAATGCAGCAATTAGAGATTGTACTACAGCTATTAAATTGAATCCAGATAATGCCAAAGCATATAAGATGAGAGGTATTGCTTATAGAATGATTGGACAATACCAAAAATCAGTTGTTGATTTAAGACTTGGTAATAAACTTGATTATGATGATAATACTTATGAATTACAAAAAGTTGTTGAAAAGTTCGTTGCTATTGAAAAACAAAATGAAAAAAGACATAACAAACAACAAGAAGAAAAACCAAAACAAGAAGAACAACACCAATGCCATTGTGGAGGTGAAAAGAAACCCGGATGTGATGGTCATGGTGGATGTCATAGACAGGGAGGTTGTTGTGGCGGACAAGGATGTTATGGAGGAATGCCTAATATGGGAAGTATGCCAAATATGGGTGGAATGAATGGATTATTTGCTGAACTTGCAAAAGATCCTGAATTAATGGCTGCTATGCAAGATCCAGATGTTATGACTAAATTATCATCTGCTATGAGTAATCCAGCACAAATTGCTACATTAATGAGTGATCCAAAAGTTGGACCAATTTTGAATAAGTTAATGAGTAAATTTGGTCAAAATGCTGCTCAATAATTGAATAAAAATTCATTAAATAATTTTTGAATTTTTCATTTTATTTTAATAGAAGAAGAATATCATTTAATATAAAATTATAAGGAATATAAATACTTGATTAAAATTCAATTGGCATGGCAAGTTGTTTTTGATGGTCAAAGAATTTGCATTTATTTGTAATAGCAAAGTCATTTCTCAAATCATCGACAAATGTTTTTACATTGTTTTCATCATTATGTTTTAACCAAATAGTAATTTTTGCTTGGCTTCTCATGGAGAATGAAACACCATTAACATCTTCATGTTGATTAAATATTTCTCCAATACAATAACATAACTAAATAAATCAGTACTTATTACAATGTTAAATTAATTGATATTAATGATAATAAATATAACAAACTAATTTACACCAAATTTGTTCTACATGTTCTGTTTGTTCTTGAGTTTTAAGATCAAAAGAAAATACAACTCTGCCCCCATTTTTATTTTCATCATCTCCTTGAGTTGGTCTTATTTTGTCTCTAAAGAAATGAGAATCACTTCCTTTTAAAACAGAAGTAATATTTGGAAAATCTTCATAAAATCCCCAGAAATTTTCTATTGTACAAATCGCTTGTATTTGTTCTCCAAATGATGTAATGCTAGTAGAACGATCAGAGTCTTTACCTGATTCAAACCAAAAGATCCAAGGTGAAGAAAGATGATGTAAATCAGACATAGGGTTAATCTGTTTCTTTTTTTGATTTTTTCTTTAATTTTTTTCATATATAAACAATTTTTTTTTTCTTTTTTTTTTGATTCATTTTATCTGTATAGATTTATTCTTCTTCTTTATTCATTTACTTTCAATACTATTTCTTTCTTTTTATTTAACTAATACATTTTTGTATTCTTGAAACTTGATACTATTCTTAAAACAAAAAAAAATTTAAATAGTTTTCTTTATCTTTTATCCTTGGTTATGTTGTTGTTCTTGTTTTGTAACTTTTTGTTTAAATTATGAAGGTATTGTTATATATAAATTATTTATTTTTTTTTTGAACAAGAATATTAGAATAGTTTCATTATAAAAGAATTGTTTATAACTGAAATAAGATGAAGTAATGAGAGAGACTTCAAAGCTAATTTATGGAAATAATACACATTATGGTGAAAATACTAAATAAGAAATAGAATTGTTATTTGTTATATCTCTATTATTTTTAAATAAACAATTGATTTAAATATTAATTTATTATTCATTTTTGTTAATAAAATTCGAGTTATTATAATTATGGTAAGAGAAAATATGTCATATGTTCAATTAAATATAATACCATGTTAAAAAAACTAGTTGATTTGTCCAATAAACGGAATTTTCAATAATCTTTTTTACTATTGAATGAGTTATTTTTATATATTGTATCTAATTTAATTAAAAACGAAAAAAAAAATTAAAATAAGTTATAAACTTTATAAATGGTTTTTAGTATAATTAAGATTCTATGGAATATGTCACAACTTGTATCAGTCAATTCCCAGATGAATATTTTGATAATGACATTAAATATCTAACTCAAAAAATTGAAGAGTCAATTGAAAAGACATTTTTTAATGGATCTCAATTTAATGTTTGTAAAGGAATAATTCACCAAAATGATTATTTAGTTTTATATATTCAAAAACCAGAAAATGGGAAAGCTGTTAAATACTTTATAAAGAATCATTCATTACAAATATTTCAATACCAATATGAGAAAGGATGGGTTTTAAATGTAGATTCTCAAATAAAAAAAATCTTCAGAAGTGATGCACCTTATGGGTTTATTTCAAAATTTATTGAAATCAAAAAATAAATAGCAAAAAGAATAGAGAAGAAAGTAGTTTGTTGGAGAGTAATAATTAGGATAAATTATAACTTATGTTATAGTTTTTATAATACTTTGGTTTTTATCTTAATGATTAACTGAGTTTAATTTTATAATAATAATAAAATGTTAATAATCAGTAACACTTAAAACACGGAAATATTAAAAACAAAATTACAATAGTTATCTTCTTATAATAAAGTACAAAATAATTAATATTATTAAATCAATTTAAAACATATTTTTATTATATATTATTAAATCTGTTTAGCTAAATTATTTTTCAAATTTAATTACAAAAATCATTCAATTTTTTAATGAAAGATTTAACTCAATTTAACAATTTCATAACAATACTAATACTCTTATTATAAACTATCAAAAATAATAATCAATAACTTCATTTTAATCTTCTATACTATAAAATACAAATTGTCGAAATTAAAAATTAAAATATCAATAATACCAGTCAGTTTAAACGTCTCCAATAAAAAAAGCACCACCTTCATCATTAGTATCTTCTTCACTAGATTCATCATTTCTTTGTTCTAAATGTTGACTTAATAATGATGGATCATTTTCTTCATCTTTAACTTCAATTTTAATATCAACTTCTCCTTTTGCTAATTTTTCTGTTTGTTCAATCATCTTTCCAAGAACATCCCAATTAATTCTTGATGACCGTTTTTTGAGTTGTTCAGACATTGCTTCTCCAAATGTGCTATGACTTTTCTTTGTTTTCTTTTCTCTTTTCTTCCTAATAGGAATTTCTTCTCCTTCTTCAAGTCTTTTCTTCTCTTTTTCTAAAAATTCAGCATTTAATTCTTCCCAAATTTGTTTTCTCTTTTCAGCTTCTTTATCATCTAAAAAATATCCATCAAGTTCATTGTCAAATTCACTACAATCTCCAACTACACATTCTCCTTCATCAATTCCTTCACTCTCAAAATCTTCTTCTTTCATTTTATTTATATCAACTAACTTTTCTACATCAAAATGTTCTCCTTCTAATCCAACATCTTTTGCACTTTTTCCTTCTAATGTTCCAAGATTTAAAGGTTTTGAATCAATATCTTTACATCCCATAATTTTACTTACTTCACCTCCTATTAATGTTTCAATTTCTTCAGTTAATTTTTTATCTTCAGCTGCTTCATATTCATCTCCATTTCCTTTTCTTTTTTTTAATGGAACATTAGCACCAACTGTTTCTCTTGCTTTATCTTTTAATCTATTTAAAGTATAACTTGGTGGATTACAATGAGGAGTTGATTGGTCATCTTCATTTAGTTGTTCTAATGTCAAATCTGCAGATGGTGTTCTTAAAAACTCTTTTAATCTCACACGAACAGTAGTAGTAGAAAGTCTAACTACATGAACAATTTCTTCTAATGTTCTTGGTTCTCCATGTAATCTTCCTGCAAGATATAAAGCAACACCACAAATACCAGAAGGTCTTCTTCCATAATGCATCCAATCTCTGTTCATTCGTTGACATATTCTCATTGCTGTTCTAACTACATCACCAGTTTTTTCAAATGAGAGGTCTTCCCCAAACCTTTGAAGATAAAGACAAGGATCAACAAATGGTAAATCAAATTTTAATTCTTCACAAAATCTAATAAATGTTCTTCCAAGTCTTCTAACAGAAACATGTAAAACATCCGCAAAATCTATTAATAAATGATCACTTCGTTCTCTTCTACAAATAATATATAAACAAGCTCCTGCACTATATGAAAATTTTCTTCCTTTAGTAATTCCAGTTTGCATTGCAACACGATATAATCTTTGTCCACTTTCTATATCAATACTTTTCATTTTAAGCATTTCACCTACTTTTTTAATTGCTCTCATTTGTCGTTCAATGTCATATCGTTTTTTCTCAGTTTCTCCAAACTGTGTTCCTGCTAAAATCTTTTTTCCTCCACTTTCATCAAACTGTAATTCTGCAATTAATGCTCGACTATTATCTATAACTAATCCACAATTTTCACATATTAAGCTTCCTTGTTCATTTCTAAATTCAGTTCCTCCACAATAACTACATTTATTTGGTTTATTTCCATCAACTTCAATTTCCATTGAGACATTTTCATTATCTGAACTACTCATATTTCTATTTACAACTATTTTTTTTAGTTTTTTATTATTCTTTTTTTATTTTTTTTTAATTACTTTTTTTTTATTACTTCATTATTTACTCTTCTCTTTCTCTTTTTATTTTATTTTTCATTAATTTTTTTTTTGATTGTTCTTGTCTCTGTCTTTAGATTATCTATTTCATTATTAAAATATTACTGAATTTCTAAAATGTGAATGAGTTAATCAAAAAAAAAAATAGAATTGAATTTGAATTGAATTTTAAAGTCAAAAAAGAAATTAAAAATAGTTTCATCTTAGATTTTTCAAAATAAAGTAAAGAATGAATTGTACTACTGACCTTCCTTCATTTGATTCTTTTAACCATTTCTCTTGTAACCAAAATCCAATTTCTCCAGAAGAAATTTTAAAACAAATGATTTCAGTTTCTTCATCAAATCCATCTCTTTTTTTATCAAAACCATTATGGTCAGTTGCAAGATATTCTCTTCCATGTTGATACTTATTTCTTCTTAATTTCTTTGTTTTTTGTTTGTTTTATTTTTGTTTTATTTTTTTTTAATTTTTCTTTTTTTTATTTCAACTAAATAATTTAATCAATTGTTTAATGGAAGTTGAACGTCTTCATAAGTTAGAAAGATTAGAATATTTAGTAGTTTTTCAATACTGTTCTTCTAAAGAACTTTCTAAGTTTATTTTTATTAATAAATATTGTAAAGATTCAATAGAGAGAATCACAAAATATACAACAAATTCAGTTAATTTATTATATTTAATGGATAAATATCCTTTACTTAGAAAAATTAATTGTAGACTTAGTTGTTTACCTACAAAAACTGCATTACCTGAATATATTGATTTGTCGGTAAGTGCTGATTCTCCTTATCACAAAAATATAATTGTTATTCATTCAAATAACATTATTGATTTTCAAGTAAAAGATACTGACACATATTTACCTTTACCATTTATGCCAAAATTACAAATATTAACTATTAGATTCACCCAAAAAGTAATTCAATCCCTTTCTCAAATTTTACAACAAATCCCACAATTAAAAAAAATTGTTATTACTTCAGTTAGTACTGAATATTTCTCAGAAATTAATGTTCTTCGTTCCGTTTCTCAATTACAAGAAATTTATATCGAATTTTTAGAAATGAAAAAAGATAGTTTAAAACCTTTTATTACTACACTATCTAGTTTTGGTCCTCAGATTAAAATTGTTATTACTATTCATATGAATATGTTTGAAGCATTAAGTTATGAACATATAGACAGTGTCTTAGATTCTCCTAAAAACTTTACAATTTACTTTTACAATGTTGACCTTCGAGATAATTCAAAAAGGGATATTTGGGAATATATCATGAGTAAAGTTTATGCTGAACCTTTTCGTTTTTTTCTTTCTTTTACTCCAACTAAATTTCCTTGTTTTAATCAAAATATGATGGACTTTTTTATTACAGCTTATCTTCCTGATTTTCCTACAATGGTTATTCAGAAAAGAATTGAAGATAATATTAACTCTTTAAAATTATATAATAGTGTTGAATTTACTCGATTACCTAAAACTTTAGATATTTGCTCATCATTAAAACGTGTCTTTTTGCATCCAATCTATGGAGATAAGACAAAACGAGATTATATAGACCTTAATTTGGTTAATTGCCCTTCATTAGAAAGTCTTGAAACCGAAGGACTTGACATTTTTCAATTTCATTTAGGTTCTCATCTTAAATACCTCTCAATTATGAGAGGAAAAGTTCCTCAACTCATTGACTTAAAAGAGAACACTAATATTGAAACTCTTACATTAGTTGAGTTAGAAATTAATACCTTATTATTACCAAAAACTTTAAAAACTTTAAAAGTAGTATCATGTCAAATCCATTCTTTTAATTTAGAAGAACTTGATGGTTTAAAATCTTTGCATTGGAAGTATTTAGACTTCATTTTTATATGTCCAAAAAATATTGAAAGTATTAAATTAAGTAAAGTTAAATTTGTTAGAGAAACAAATTTTGCAATGTACACTCAATTAAAAAATCTAACGTTTCAAAAAATTTCAAGTATAGAATATTTTAATCTACCAACATCAGTAGAATGTATTTCACTTGACTCACTTATTATTCTTAAATCATTACCAAGTCTTAAAGAAATGAAATTATTAACTTGTTTGGAAATTGAACAATGTCCTCAACTAAGTTCTTTGGCTATCCCATCGAATTTATTAAAACTTAAATTAAAAAATACACAAATTGATCAATTAATAGCTTTTTGTGGAAATGAGTGTGGTCCTCAGTTATCAACAATTGAATGTAATAATATGGACTTTCTTCCACAATTTCAGTTCTTCACTCAACTTAAAGAAATTGTACTTGAAGAGTGTCAAATTAATGACCAAATACTATTTCCTAGGTCAATATTAAGTTTCTCTGGAATAAATTGTATTTTACAATCACTTGATTTTAGTAACTGTTTGCAATTAAAACAATTATCTAATTTTAATGTCTATTGTAAGTCAATTCAAATTTCTCCTTCAGTTGAAGCATTAAAACTTACATATTTATCTAGTCTTATTGCTGAAATAAATGAAACAAGTCATTTAACTAATATAACTCGTTTAGAACTGTCTTATGTTAATCTATCAAAAATAGACTTTAGTCCATTAACTCGATTAGAATCAATAGATTTTAGAGGTGTTTCTTATTCAACATTAAAATTACCTCAATCTCTCAAATCTGCTCAATTTAAATTTATGACATCAACAGATTGTGCTCTTGAATTACAAGAATTAACTCAACTCCAATCTATAGAAATCATTTCATTCTCTCCTTATGAATATTCTTTCCCTATTTCTCTTAAAAGTCTTGTTATTAAACATTCACCTAAATTTATTGTAAATCTAAATAAATTTACAGTTTTAACTAAGTTAACTCAATTAATAATAGTTGATATTCCAATAACTCAACCATTTCTTATTGATGACTTTAGTTTTGTTGAGATGTTTAGTTTTAGACCCAATGAATAAATTATTAATTCACGATTGATTGATATTTATTTAATAAATAAGTTTTTAAAGAAAAAGAAGTCAATTATCTTTAATAGAAATTATTGGAAGATAGTCAATATCATCAAATGAAAATACTGCTTTTGTTGTTGAAGTAGGATGAATTTTCATTAATTTCATTGCAGTTAACATATTAGACATTGATATTTTATATAACATTCCAACCATTTCATTAGGAAGATAATTATTTTTATTATTCAATTTAATTTCTTCAATAATTTCTTTACATTTTTTCAATTCATTAATAGAGTCGATAATAATTAATCCTGGTTGAATGTTATTAGTACGTTGTTCTTCATATTTTTCAAATGGAATATATTGTGGTGTATGACATTTTTCAAATGCAGAAAATCTAAGTTCATAACGATATTTATTATTACCAAGTAAAAATTCTGGTGATTTAATAATATTCATTTTATTTAATGCTAAAAGGAGTTTAGTAATTCCACTTATTAATGTCTTGTATAACAATATAGTTAATTGTTCCATATTTGGTGTTAATTTTGATGGTTTAATATTCTTTGATTTTTTTGATATTGAATACATTCTTCTATCCATATCTAATTGTATTCTAAATTCATTTAAATGTTCATATGACATACTAAATAAAATAGAG